CGGCCTGCTCAAAAATCTGCAATAAACCAACGAAATGACGGAAAAAGATGCCGTCAGAACTCATGAGCCCACCTCTGACCCTGTTCTCTTTGTTCAGAGGAGCCAAAGAGGTTTAATTAAGGTGCGTTTAAAGAGGCGGGGCTTAGCGATTCAAAATTAAGTCATTTTCAGGGGTCACCGTGCTGTAAAACACAAACCCGAGCATTCAACCCAAAGTGCCGGACCATCATTTCAGTTCCGTCTTCAGCCGCCTGTCAAAAAGTCGTTGGAAATTACAGTATTACAGTCAGAATTTTTGTTACTTTTATTTTAGAAAATGTCCTTTAAAGTGTGGCGTTTCAAGTCACATTTTGTTTAAAATACAGAAAACAGACAGTAGAACATGGATACAGCAAAAAAGGAAACAATGACAGAAAATAAAGCTAACAAGCCTTTCTGACTGCTCTAGTTTTCTCTTTTTGAAATGGAACTGAAGGCAAAGGAAAGAGGGCAGAAAAAGAAAAGGTTCGGGGAGAGGAAGGGAGGAGTGAGAGGGGGGGGCAGAATGAGACAAGTTAGTTAAGGAAACTATGGTTGCTTTATAGGTCATGTTTAAATTATTCTTTATAAAGTCTAATTTAAGATTTCATCTTTCCTCTTTCTTTTTTGTCTTTTTCATTTATTGGTATTTTGATCTTCAGGATCCAGGGCCCTCAGCGCTCCTCCTTGTGGTCTCAGACCGAAGACAAGGAATGCCGACTTTGTCTGGCAGTGGGAACAAAACCACCTGCGTCGCCTTCCCTGGCCAACCCACACTGCCAACTCAAGAAGATAAAGTGGAGTCCTTCTGTGTTTGCTGTGCTTGTGAACGTTGCATGGACTTCTGACTTTCCATGTCTCTAAAATGTTTCTCAACCTGCAGAGAGAAAGAAAAAAATGATCTTAATGCAACCACGGACTTGATTTCAGGATCGGTTGAAAACAAAAAGGCCGGCTGCTTGTTCTGAGCCGTGTCCTGACCCCTCAGCCCCAGAATGACGTAATGTCAGATTCTCTGTAATAGTTTAGCCGCCATGGCGAGGATGAGGAGATCTGGGGGGGGGATGAAGCTCGGGCTGGAGAGCCGGCTAATAATCGCCCAGCAGCTGCAGATTTGGAGATCCACTCTAATCTTTTCATTGCACATGTGGCGTTTTGTTTTTGTTTTTCTTCCTCCTTGATGCACAAAAACATCTCAGAACTAAGAATTAAGCCCCGGCGGCAGCAGGAACGGGAACGCTGGTCTCCCATTGCTGCGTTCATTTGCCCGGTCGGGACTTCTTCCCCGTTCAGTCAGCGTTTAAGGAATTAGTCGGGAAAAAGCGAAAGCCCAGAGTTAATCGGGGAAACATCTGTCGGCTAGGTCATCATCACAGAAGTTTCCCTGCTGTCTGCAAACGGACTCAAAAGGTCCACACGCATGCTGCCATCACATATTTATTAAGTAATTTCATTTAACTCGCAAGAAAAGATGAGAAGCCGTTCAACCACATCCTGAAAGATTCAAATAAATAATTCCGGTACTATTCCTTTTCATCATTTTAGGGGGGAAACGACAGGTAATGAGTCTGTGTTCTGGGACTTTGGGCTTTGGGGTCAGTGTGCGCTGCTCTCTGGTGGCACCCAGTGGTTCTCCACACATTTTACAGGTTTCCGTTCACGGACTCTTACGGGACGACTGGCTCACATGCCGTGCAGAGGCGAGGCATACTTACTATTTTGCGTACATGACTTAAAGCGCTTCCCTCTTTGCCTTTGCAGTTCTCCACCTGGTATGGCGGCGAGATTACGACATCGTCCATCACAATAATGTTCTTCTCCTGCCATTTACAGTCTTTGATGCTGCAAAAAGAGACACTGGTTAGCTTGCGGGCACACGGCTGGAGGTAAATTCATTTGGATAATCAAAAAGTTTCCAAATGACAGAACTGAAAAGCATAAGTCTTTGTGAGACGGCTCGTGAATTTGGTTTACCGTATCATTTATTAACATTTATTGTGCTTTTCTACCTTTTTATTTAACTTGCTTCTGCTTTCAGTCTTTGGTAATGTTGTCTGTGTAATGGGGTCAGCACGGACCCTGGTGACCTGTCAGTGTGAGGTTCTTACGTTTTGTGAATAGTCTGGAATAGCTGTTGGCCCTCCACAGAAACCCCAGCACTGATTGCATAGGCTTGGGACAGCTTGTCCTCCTTTTCTGTTCGTGCTCGATTGGCAAGCTGGAAAAAATAAAATAAATAGAAACACTTATTGATTAATTAGAGTCATTCATCTTTTTCTGTTGAGTAAAAGATCCATTACTACAATAAAAAGCAAATAGGAGCCAGGAACACAGGTCTCGGTTTAAAACAAATTTGAAATTTCCATTTCTAGATGAAATGTGCGACCGTAGGCTGACATCATACCTTCTCAAACACGCAGTTTAAGCAGGAGACAAACCTGGTTAAAACTCAATATGGCTGCATTATGTTTTAGCATAATGTTAGCTTAATGTGTTTGAGCTGTTGCACATGCCGTTAGCTGCTGCCTTTGACTGTGCGTGTGCGGGGAAATGTTGAGCAGATTCTGATGCTTCCTATGTGGGAAAAATGTTTACCTGCAAGTTCAATATTTAGCTGGACAGTTTTTGTTCCAACCAGATAAATAGATTTGTGCATGAGAGCGAGACGAACTGTAGAGGTCACTGAATTTGGAGTTTCCTAAAGTAACAGGTTGAACATAAAGAAACGTCCTCTACGACGACAGTTTGCTTTAAAATGCTCCACAGCTAAATCAGAATGTATAGAAAGTGAGGGATTTATGGAACTCTGAACACCGGTTGCGAGCGACGTATTTACACTCGCACCCAAAGACGTTTGATCTATAAGCCAACAAACAAAACCAATTATAAATCAACCACTCACCTTGCTAACATTCAGTGATGCTAGTGGAGGTGGAGTCTCGGTGCGGTCATTTATTATGTCCACATCAGAAACATAAGCTAAGTTGATCAGGATGACGTCGTTGAGGTTCGGCTTGCCACTGGAGGAAGCACATTCTTTGGTGGCACACAGGTTAAGGCGGGCAACTGCATGGCAAGGCCTCAAAGAACAAAATCCCCATTGTTATCAGTCCCCCAAAGAACCCAAACACCGTCCCCATAGAGAAACTTACGGGACAGAGAGGCTGCGGCGGCCTAACGCTGTCAGTGAAAGGGGGTGCCAGTTACAGCATTTGACCACTAAAGGCTGTGCTGCCACCTATAGTAACCACTCATGAATGGATGGATACGAAAATGCCATATGTGGCCACACTTTTACTAGATAAATTAATTCTGATAATTTTTGATTACGCTAAACTTCTCATTAAATACTAAACCAAGAAAATTCCTATTCGTTTTATAACATCATTTTTGTTTCCCTTGAAAGTAAAATGTAATTTCCATATTCAGGTTGTAGCAATATTCAGGACATGTGCATGCTTTTTCGTACCAACTATAAAAATCACTAAATCATTTTGGATTATTTCAGATCTGTGATCTAAATCTTGAGACCTTCAAACCGTTGAATGTCAAAGGCCAATCACGTTTTAGCCTACAGATCTCAAACATAAACTGTCAAACACCTTCACACTGAAATTCCTTAAAAAATAAAATCGCACGGCAGTGTTTAATCGTGTGGACGGCCAGGACAACTTTTGACGGCTAAGTTTCGGTTTGAGGAACGAGGTGATCATTTGGATAAGGCTCGCCATCGGGAGACAAACGCTCCCTATGAATGGGTGGGGGCATTCTTACCGGCTAGCTAATGGCAATTGTAATTACTCGAGAACGTCTTAAACTAAACATGATTCAATTTGACGGAATTTTAAAAATGGATAATCATGTTAAAGCCGTGCATGACAAAACCCAGTCGGTAAACTGCAGAATTCCGCGGTGTTTAATTGAATATCAAGCAAACGGCGGCAGTGTGGGTTTGACCGAAACTTAGCATGTTAGCTGAGCTAACAGCAATTTGGCTCTAGCGTGGAAGGGTACTCGCTACATAATCGGGACAAACTTTTACAAATAGCCGCCTGCATCGCTAGGCAATGGCACAAAAAACTATAAGAGAAAAAAAAACCTGTGGACTCAAGCCGGATTGAAATTGAGCAAGTTAGCGAGAAAACTAGCAACGGTTTGTGCCTGTTGAGAGCACACAGCCATGATGCCTTACGAGGATTCGCTGCCAGATAGTGAGCCATGTTGCGGGTTGGCAATACAATAAGTAGATTCAAAACACATGCTTCTTCTAGCGGATAAAAACGAAGCCTAGAAATTCCCATGTAACATCAGCGAGACTTTCAACGGATATGATACGGATGGACAGCCATCTCGCAAGTGAAATAATTTAAAACGGACAAAGATGTGTAACTCAGCTACCACCAATTACGCCTGCGCGGATCACTATTTGACATATTTTCGGTTACCCTACAGGCCCTTGCAGCCAGAGAGGCCAGCTAGCCACCCGCTGAGCGAAACAAACAAAGGATACTCAAAGTTAACATCTTGGACTGGTAATCAAATGCGACCACTTCTCCTTGTAGACGTTGGCCCAAGCAGGTGAGGCATGAGACATGGCTCCCGACGCTGAAATACTCCCCCGGTCCAGGAGCCGCCATCTTCTCCGCCAGGAAACCGGAGCGCCTGCTTTACGTAAAGAAACGTGATGTCGTAGGCAGACGGAATCTGGGCGTGTCGACTTACGTCGCCTTCTTACAATTTAATCAGCTGCGATTCATTCCATAAACGTGGGAAATTTGTGACACGATTAACTTAAAAAAAAAAAACCGATTAAGTTACGTACAATACGGTATCTTTACAGATTTATCGCAGACACATTTTGAAATCGTGGGTGGAATGTATGGCTTTGCCCCTCGTTTCATCACCTTAACTGAAACTGCTCTCTCTGTTGGGCATATGCTGGTACTGCGGCGTAACCTGCATCATTTCCCTTGAAAGAACGCTTGAGCAGAATATGCCTATTTAATCACGTCAGAGAAAGCGTTGAAATGGAGGCAATATATACACAAGGCATTTGGGCAGCTGAAACTCTCCAGCAACGGACAAAGAATCTGGAAAAATTTTGGCTTGTCATTACACATCTTGGCGATCCTAAAGCAGCCTTTTTGTTCGTCTTTCCTTTCACCTATTTTATTAGTAAACGAGCAGGAATAGCAGTGCTTTGGGTCGCAGCTGTATCGGAGTGGTTGAACTTGGTGTTTAAATGGTAAGGCTAAAGGAGTTTTCGATGACAGTTTTTACTCTAGGACAGTTTTAGCCGAACGCAAAATGTCAGAAACTTGTAGAATTTTATATTAAAACATATTGTGTTGTTGTTTATTATGTTTCCATTTGGGCCTTTTTTGTCAGTGATTATTTACAGAGAAAAATAGTAATTATTTAATATTTTATTCCGTAAACGTTGTAGCTTCCGGGACAGCGTCGCAGTGCAGTCCAACCTTCTCTACTTTCCGTGTTGAAACAAACAAGCGGAACAGTTTATTGCAGCTCTGTAGCAACAACGTAATATGTAACAGGATATGTATTTATGTAAACACAATAATGATTTTGTGAAACAAAAGTTTTAAGTAAACGATCCACACTCCAGCTGAAGATACCGTAGAGCTATTTTTGATAAAATAGGAATAAAACCACAACTAATAGTGTTTATTTGGGAAAGGAATATGACAATTGCATCTATGTTAGTTGTGCATAATTTCTTTTTAATCATCTAGGATGCTGTTCGGCGAAAGACCTTTCTGGTGGATGGGTGAATCTGGTCTATTTGTCAACACACAACCTCAAGTTCACCAGTTTCCATCCACCTGTGAAACGGGCCCAGGTGAGATACCCTCACAGAAAAATGAAGCAAGTATTGGTTGTAGACAGTGCTCTTTATTCATCAAATAGCCAGCGCTCCAAAGTTAGCATCTGTCTCTCAGGCAGTCCATCAGGACATGCGATGGTGACAGCAGCAGTGTGGTGGGTCGTAATGTCCTCACTGGGGTCATCTCTGTATGCCCGCACCCGCAGGTATGCTGGAGTTTTATGTACAACTACAGGGTATATAAGCCTATTTATTGTTGAGTCTTTTCCTTGCTTTCAGTGTGATGATATCAGCTACGCCGTACGTGCTTTATGTGGGAATGCTGGTTGGAGTTGGAATCTCCCGGATCTTCATCCTAGCTCATTTCCCTCATCAGGTCATCGCTGGCAGCATCACAGGTCAGAGCACAGTATCACTGCATGAGTGAGTCCCCAAAGAAGCCTTCACCAAAGCACTCCTTAAAACTGAGGCAAAAGTCATATTTCTCCAAGGAAAGACATTGAGCTGATTGATTTGCCACGTTTTCCCTGTAAGCTTACATTTCTGGAGATGTAAACATTTCACTGTCAATGTAAATTCTACAGATAATAACGATATGTGCTGGTAGTAAATCTTTTTATATGGATTTGAACTGACTGAGTAATTCCTATCAGGGTTCCTTCTGGGGGTTCTTTTGAGTGGTCGAGTACCAGAACGTCGCCCCCTGCTGTTCTTCTTCAGGTTAAGCATCGGCATGCTTCTTAGTGCTCTTCTGCTCTATTTTGGATTGCAGCAGGTTGGAGTTGACCTGTCCTGGTGAGAATCTTTGCTTTCATCTGTAATGTAGCACTATTTGCCATCGTAACCTTTGTGATGTGACACAAACTTTCCTGCCCAGACGAGTTGTGTTTTGTTTATTCCACAGGTCTATTGCTTTGGCAAAGAAATGGTGCAGCCGTGCAGAGTGGATCCGTCTGGACACCGCCCCGTTCTCCTCTCTGACTCGAGACTGTGGGGCCCTGTTGGGTTTGGGGCTCGCCCAGTACTGGAAACCCAACGGCTGGTCCCTGCCTTGGGCTCCAAGGTCCTTGTGTCTCGCCTTATCATCCATGGGACTTTATCACGTCAATCGCCTACCACTTCCTGTTCGACCACAGGGCCTCTTCTATGGGCTGTTTTTTGTCAAATTTGTCCTAGTGCCCCAAATTGTCATGGTATTTGCACCTGGGTTGGTGTACCTTTTCACACACAAAACGAAGAAAGACTAGAGGAAACTCCATGTTCCAGACTCTTACACCTTCAAAAACCAACAACTTTCTCCTTTATTTTGGCACTTCAGATTTGTTTTTAAAGTTCCAGTGTTAATTGTTTTTCTTGTCTTAAGTCACTTTAAAAAAAAGTTATTTTGCTCAATCTATGACTTGTATTCTTTTAAAGAATGTGAATGGGGTGAGTATCAAAGTTTTCACATTTGGAGCAAATGTACCTTTTAAATCCTGTATTTCATAACTAAAGATTGTTTGTGGGAAAAGAAGGATGCGTTCCCTATGACAATCATTTGGGGTTTATCATAAGAAAAGAGCAACACTGTGGAATAAAAACATTGTTGCTGAGCATCCTCATCGGTGTCAACATAGTGCTGATGTTTGCCATCGTATTGTACAGCCCGTTCCCTCCAAACATATTACTATGTTGTGTTGTCGACCAATAATATTAATTTCTTATACTCAGATCTGTAAAATAAATGACTGACATGCTGGGCACATTGCAGTTTAGAACCATTTATAAATATTATCTTTTCTTTTCCCAATACATAGGTTTGACTGTACAGATTACAATCTGTTATCATGAGATAAAAACACATTCTTTTTTATTGTTTTTAATGAAACTTTTATCACAGCGATCTGAAAGCTCACATTTACAGACAAGAGAACTCTGCTCAGCAAGCAAATACATTAAAAGAAAAGAAAAGAAAACTTCTTGTCGGGTGGGGCTGAAGGAAAATGATAAGGATAGTTCAGGAACAGCAGTCGTCCCCATATCTTAATCCCAACATTGTATCACACACCGGTGACACAGCAGACGTGTCTGCTTGAGCTCATGGAAAGAGTAGAACATGCATCAGACTATTTACAATAAACTAATATACACAGACAGCTCCAAACCATACAGCCTCACATTTCCCCAACTTAAAAGGTCTTACTTAAATCAAGTATGATACAGTTTATACCTTCATTTCTGTAAAGATAAGTAGGGCATCGCTCTGGTAGCAGGTAAAACTGAGGACGAACAGAAGACAGTCGGGGACTTTGGACTGCCTCTTTTTAGATATTCTTCATCAGACATCCAAAATAAAATGTTACAGACAAATGGTCTATAACCTTTCCCACATATACAAATAACTTTAATATTCTCACTATCCCCCATCTCTATGACACAAACTCCAAATACTTTATGGAGTTTCTGGATGCTAAAATGTCTTTTTTGTCATTGTTGCAGTAGATCTGGCTTACTTTACAGATTCGAACAAGGCCAGTGTATTGGAATGGCTGATTTAGAGATAGTGAATACTTTCTATGAGGTGGAACGGGACCGTTTTCTCTCACAACGGACTTGCCTGACTAACCAACCTGAGCTGGTTGGAGTGTAATAGAATGGAATATCTGAGCCGGTATTTACAACTTGTGCTAGAAAGTCTGTACATCTTTGCCAGTTTAAAACATTGTTTTCTCGTCATACTGTCATTCATCACTGCATTGCAAATCATACAATAAAAGGAGCCTATGATAGTCTGCTGTCACCGATCAGAGATCCGACTTATCACACGTCCCCTTTCTCCAAATTCAACCATCAGAACAACCAAGTAAGTAACATACATAAAGTGCACTCTTAGTTATGAACGTTTCAGGCATTCTTAGTGCCAAAGTAGCTGAATTAGATGGAAATGCATTGTGAGTAAGAACAAAAATGAATGCAGAAGAAAGGGAACAGGTCTAATAGGGGGGAAGTATGCATTTGCTTGCTTGTACCTGCTGAGCACTAACCACGTGCAAAGGAGGGACAAAGGCAAACTTTGACAATGAACCATACAATAAAAATCACTTGCCATTACATTATTTATAACTGGCCAATATCACTCAGTTAACGAAGATTTAGTAATCCTTTAGACAAATTACAACTTGAAACAATATTATTACAGCCTCATAGCCTAATATAAGCAGCCAGTAAGGCCTCATCTGTTAGTCATATTTGGCAAGTGACATGTTCACAAAGAGCTAGACTATTTCTTTAAAGAGAGTGTCTTGAACGTTTGACATCCAACATAATATATTATAGAAAGCAGTAAACACTGCAGCCATTTTACAAAAGAAAATCATCTAGAATTTTGACTCAAATTTGCTGATGTGACTGGTTTGCAGTATTAAAACCACACAGATTATGCAGACAATGAATGTTTAAAAAATGCATATGTGCTGTGTGGTATTTTTATTTTAAAGATTTAAAATTAGGATTAAAAGTCTTCTTTTGAACTATATATGTGTTCTGATAGACTGGATTTACTCAATTAAGTTCCACAGAGTTATTCAAAGGAGTGGAAATTATCTTGGAATGTTATTTTGATGTTTCTGCCGTTGTTTCCGGAAGAAAACTATTTTTTTCAAAACTAATTTCCAGATGGATACGATCCATGCCATAAAATCATCCTTTTTTGACACACTACTACATGTCAAAGTTTGTCTTTGTCCCTCATATTTCGCTCTGACCAGTTTTCCACGCCCACGACTCGCAGTGTGACAGAGAGGCAGGGTTAATCAAATGAAATTCAAAATGCAAACTATGCTTTGTTTAATTTCTATGTACAATATATAACTTAATTATAAATATTGTCATTTTTCTCTAAGTACTGAGTTGTTGAGCCATTTCTATTTTCTGAGCAATGTACAGTATTGAACAGATAATATTGTATTACATAGAATAGAGCCTACTAGCAACCTTGGATAAGAGCACACTTTGAAAGAAGAGAAGATGGATTCAGAGTCCACAAGTAGAGTCTGATGAGTTGCAACCTTCCCCCTTACAGTCCCATCTGTTGCGGTCACTTGTGGGAACTTTGTGCCACTCAACGTTTTGTCAGTGCACTGGTCTTTGATTGTGAGATCACTACTCAGAACCCTCCTGTTATTCAACCCGTGTGCGGAGTATGATTATGAGAGAACCACTTTAATGGAAATGACGTTTGTTTTTTTTTCATATCAGATCTTGTCTAATAACACGTGAGAGCCAGATGTGTTTTTTTCTCTGACTGGATTTTTCGTCTTGGGAGTTCTTTTGGGGGGAGTTTGTTCATGACACATACAGCGATGGCATGTCACATCTGTGGCATGTCCAGATAAATATTATAGCACACTCTCTTCCACTTAACAAGCCCAGTCCATCCATCCAATCACACATTCGACTCCACAAATGGTCTCTTTGGTTTGATGGGGGACGTGGGGCCTTGGGTCCGCGAGTCACGGGACAGCTGGCGGTACATGTTGTCCTGGTAGGCTTGCGACACGGGCAGAGTCCTCGCCACCTTCACGTCCGGGTAGGTGGGAACCTGGCTGACCCGTTCCAGAATGTCGCCGCTCCCCCGCGAGCCGTTGGCCAGCTTCCCCAGGGAGGGCGGCTGGGTCTGGGAGTAGTAGTCCTCTTCCAGTAGGTGTCCGTTCTGGGCGTTGTTGGTCTTGTTGTAGTACGCGATGTTGCCCAGTGAGGCCGGGGGGCTGTAGGTGGAGCCCTGCTGGACCAGCTGACCGGGCGAGGTGGGGCTGATGGCGGAATCCATGGAGGTCATGGCTCGGGACCGGGTCGGCTGGTGCAGGTACTGCTGAGTCCGTGCCGTCTTGTCTATGATGCCCATGAAAGGCGTGTTCCGAGAGCGGGTGGCCTCGCCCTGATACAGCCCCCCGCCCCCCTGCGAGGGCGAGATGGGCGAGATGTCGTCACAGCTGCGCTCGTACGTGGGTTGCAAGGGGATCTCCATCTGCTGGATGGACGAGGAGGGCCTGAAGTTCGGCGCCAGGTTGGACGTGGATCCGGTGGAGATGTTGTTGCTCGAGGGGGAGAACCGCAGGCCCACGCTCTGGGAGTGGATGAGGGGCCTGGGGGTGGGCACGTGCTGCTTCATCTCGTTGGTGTTGGCGCTCACGGGGCGTCTCACCATGTGCGGGATCTCCGGGGAGCCGAGCTGACAGGGAGGCATGGCGTTGGCGCGCTCCAGGACGTGTTCGGAAACCGGGTAGTAGGCGGCGGACTGGCTGCGACTGATCTGGGGCGTCTGGCTGTAGCGGACGCCCCCCGGGCCCCCGCTGCTGGCGCGGTAGGCAGAGGAGGGGCGCTGGGGTAGCTCATCCTTCAACAGGTTGGACTCCATGACCCCTCCTCGGCCACCGTGCTGACAGAGGGCCCCAGAGCTGAGGCTGGCCTGGACCTGGGACATCCGTCCGTCCAGGGAGGGCTGGTACACCAGGCGGCTCTCCACGTCCACCGAGCCCCCCTGGTAGCGGCCGCCCATGGAGTGACCCATCTGGCCCACGAAGCTGCTGTTGCCCATCATGTTGCTGGGCTGGTTTGTGCGGACGATTTGGGCTATGGAGGGCTGCAGGCGGAGGCCTTGGGCCTGGTGGTGCTGGGAGGAGAGCGAGGGCTGCGAGCTGAGCTGGAACGAGCGCTGGCTGCTCATCTTGGAGAGCGGGGACTTGGGCCGGCCCGGGTGCTGCTCGGTCTGGTAGCGCACGGGCGACCCGGACTGCGACCTGTACAGGCAAACGCCTTCTATGGGCGGGCTGGCTCTGTACTGGGCGGCCCGCCGTAAAGGGGAAGGGGGCGGGCTCTGGTGGTCCATCCCCTGACCCCCCGTGCCCATGGGAGGCGGGCTGAAGCGGTAGGAGGCCTGGTGCACCGGGGAGGTGTGCGGGGGACTGTGGCGGTAGTGGGAGTTGTGATGCGTCGGGGAGAGGGAGGGCGACGTGGGCTGGTAAGAGCCACGAGTCGGGGAGGACATGGAGGAGGAGGTGGGCAGGTACTCGTAAGGCTGGCCCATGGGCGAACCCCCAGCTAAGTAAATCTGATCCGGATGCGTGGGGGACAACGGCGGGCTCTGGATGATGGGAAGACTGGAAAGATTGCTGAGAGAGTCAGGCGGGGGCAGGCCCATGGACATGGCCTCCAGCTCCTGCTCCAGGTAGCGCTCGTCCTCAAACAGGTCCTGAACCGGCTCCATGTCCTCCAGACGGGGCTCCGGGGGAGGAGGGAGGGGCATGGACAGGGACAGGGATTCCTCCTCGTCCGCAGGAGGCGTGGGCGGAGGGGAGGGAGGAGGCTCCAGCTCCAGATCCGTCTGCTGGTGCTCCTCCTGACTGAGCTGATGGCATTCGTCCTCCACCCGCTGGAGCAGCCGCTGGATCTCTCGGTTATTGGGGCACTGCTTTATGGCTTCATTCAGGTCCTCTAAGGCTTCAGGAAATTGTCTGGGAAAAAAGAAGGAGGGTGTTTTCAGGGAAGGTGACACCATCTCGGGAGTCACATACTGAGTCACAAAGTGTTTTTTGGAGCGTACCTGCTGCTACGTTTAGCGCGGGCCCTGGCGTAAAATGCCTCATAAGAATTTGGTTTCAGTTCAAGGGCCTTAGTAGCGAATTCCTCAGCCATCCCAAAGTCCTGCAGAGATTAAGATAAAAAGAAGAACAAAACTAAACGTGATCAACAGCATCAGCATTATCAAATTTAAATTAGATCAAATAAGATCACTTAAGTTGGGTCCACAGTCTGTGGCATTTTGGGTATTTGTCATCTTTTTCTTGATCCCATGTTGACTTACGTTCATTTTCCTCCGACATCGGGACAGGTTGAGGAAGAGCGATACTTTGAGTTCCCTGAAAGTCTTGAGGTCCTCGCTGAAGCCTTCGCGTGGAAATTTTTTGAGAGCATACTGGTAACGCTGCGCGGCCTCTTTCACCTTCCCCTTCTGCGACAGAAAGCCACGAAAGTGTTTATTTTTCTACATTTCACACAACAAAATAGGCCAATCGGTCCTTTCTGCAGAATACGTTTCTATTCCAGAATGTTCTAACCAGCTCAATCATTTTGTCGGTCGGACTTAAACCTTCAATAAAGAAATACATTTTCATCTATGGATGCGAATTTGATCCGAACGCTGAGATATTCTCTCACCTTGTAAAAGCTGTCCCCCTCCTCGATGAGCTTACTCAGCAAGATGATCATGATGTCGGGTTTGGAGGTGGCCATGGCCCACGTGGCTGGACCTGCGCAACAAAGGAGGAAACAGATGAAAAAGGATACAGTGAAAAGGGGTGCAGAAATAAAGGGGCCTTTAGGAGGAAGGAAGGAGCGACTGGGAGACACACTACACACAACAGTAATAACAAGAATGAGGACAACAGCCAAAATGGTGGATGGAAGAGAGAAGACAGGCAATCCACTGTGGAGAAAAGATTACAAAAATCTGCTCTGACACTTCATCGTAACCTTGCTTGGGGACATCGGGCCTGGGTCAAATACTGTTTGCAAGTATTCTTTTAATCTATCAAAAAGTTCTCGATGATTGTGACAAAAAAACAGACCATTTGAATGATTACGAAAATAGCTTTTTGGAATTAAAAGCGAAAATGTATCTGCAAAGAGGATCTGACCCAGAGAAAAAAACTATTACATAATGTATAAAACAGAAAAATGAAATCAAATAGCCCTTATATTTTCCTGCGGAGACTTTTTCTGTCTTGTCAAGAAGTGCAGATGTACAGTCATTCTCTACGTTTGAGACTTGCTCCAGGAGAAGCAGGAAACCAGATCTACTTCTATTAAACAAATCGAACCCCCTGCAATACAATGCCTGGACTGTAGCTGATGTGCCCCTGGTTGTATCTGCGCAACAGCAATCCTTGACACGGGGTACACACACGCCACGGCGACGAAAAAAGGAGGGAGTCTTGCACAAATAGACACGGGGCAGGTACGATACACAGAAGAGGCAAGCAGGAGGGATATAAGAGGGATTTGCAGGCTTGAGCTGTCCGCTGAGCTGCCGTTGAGGGGAGAAGTACAGCTGACTGGCCTGGCCTGACACTGACGGCACGTCTGGAGGATGAGGGATGCAGAGAGTTTATCACTGTAGTCTGTGGTGGCGGGGGGCACAGAGAGTGGAATTACAAATGCATGCATCGTGGCCGGATCGCCATCACACAGGTGCGACTGAGAGCCTTTGTCATGCATGTTTTGTGGGATGGAAGGTCAACATCTCAATACGACGTCACAGGCTTGAGGCTGGGCATGCTGTCGTTAACCACTCGGGTGTTAGCATCTACCTCTAGGCAATCCCGACTGCATCACTGTCAGTGCTAATACCTTTTGTGTGTTATTATTTGTCAGTTTTGAGAAGGTTTTGGTAGCTAAGCTCGCCTGCCGACACTTAGGATGACACAGACAACATAGAGAGAGGAGATAGAGCTGTCAAAATGCCTGGTAGGGTGAGAGGTCGACAGCCTTGGCTTTACCTCGGGGCCGACTGGGCAGCGTCTGACATCCTGGTGCCGGAGACAAGAGTTGGGGGTATTGGGGCAACAGTGGGGTAAAAGGGGGTAAGGTGGGGGGGGGGGGGGGGGGGTGGAAGGAGAGTAAGTGGAAGGGCAGAGTGGGTCAGGCAGAATTGCGAGAGAAAGCAGTGGGAGTGCGAAGGAGTGAGAGGAAAGAGAGATATAAAGACAGCGTGAGGGGTGAAAGAAACAGAGAGGTGGTAGTGGAGGAGGAGAAGTGAGAAAAGGAACACAAGCAGCAGTGAGAAGCGAAGGAGATAACTGCCTCAGCAAAAAAAAAAAAAAAGATACAGAAAGAAACACCACCAGCGCTAATAACAACCTGTCTCTGAGCAACCGCAGAGGAACAGGGATAGAGGATGTGATTGAGAAAGAGAAACGAGCAATAGAGACAAACAGAGGCGCTGAGAAAGCGTGACAGAGAGAGAGAGAAAAAACTAAACAACACGGTGGTACAGTTGTACAATCAAAAAGAAGTGAACATCAGTGCCATAAATAGCCGAGGAGAGGCAGCGCGGTGCAGCAGTAAGGGGGCGGATGACATCCAGCATACGGGGAGAGGCTTTCGCTACATGGAGACACAAACCTGAATCCATGGCTTACTGCAACACAATGCCACACTGCTGTATAACAACCAACAGGAAGCGTGCGCTTTAAAAAGGGCCGCCCCCCCCCCCTTGGATTCACTCTTCATACGTGCATCGTTGAAAAGGAACACATCGCCTCCATGTCCCAGATCTTATTTATCAGCTATTCGATTAAACACGGACGTAACAAAGAAAGGGGGCTGCACTCCCCGTGTGCTTGACAGGGGTCCGTTCGGTTCGTAAACCCGTTTCTTACCTATTTTGGCGCCTTTCTTGAGCAGAGCGACCACCACCGATGTATTTCTGCAGCCCACCGCCCTGTCCAGAGGACGCATCCCACTGTAGTCCACGTGCTCTATCATGGCCCCGTGATCCACCAAAAACTGGACCTGAGAAGACGGAGGAGTGTGTGTGGCAAAAGAGTCAAGGACCAATTCAAAGACAGGTTCATTCACATGAATACTGTCAACATAACTACATATGTCAGACAAAATGTGTTTTTGTATTGTTAGATTTTAGAGAAGCATGCAATACATGACAAGTCTGATATATAAAGCAGTTGATGGGGGTCCAATCAGCACAGAAAACCCCAAAAATTAATCCCCATTTATTATAAGAAGACCCGCTCAGCAAAAACACCACACAGCTGTAGTTTCTCTGACAATTCTACACAGATATGTCATTTTTACTCATAAATAAACACAAATCTAACATTAATGTCGACTCAGATTATATGTAACTGACTGTCTGACATTTCCATTTGGATTCTCCAGACGTACCACTTCAGAGTCACCGTAGAAAGCTGCCAGGTCCAGGGGCGTGCGTCCGTTCTTGTCTGCGTGGTCAGTGGCAGCCCCGCTCTCCACCAGACAGCGGACCACAGGTAAATGTCCTTTCAGACAGGCCCAGCTCAGAGCGGTCAGACCCTCTTTATCCATCTGAGACAGCGAGGCTCCTGGAAAAAGGGACGAGGAGTCTTTGAAAAAACCACAGGAACAAAAAAAGAACTGGCAAGCCCATCTGTATCTATAAGTGGATTTTTCCACAGTAGTTATCCCACTCAGCATCTGTTAAGTGTGACTGACATAAACGAACACTAAACAGAGCTGTGAGGCAAATCCATTTAAATTCATAGCTGTTGATATTCGGAACATTTGCAACAAGACACGGGAAGTTTTCAATCTGGACTCTTTTTCTATTCCTAAGTATGTTTTTACGGTTCAGTTTGTAGTTGGATTTTAGATTTGTCGAACATATGCTCTGCAGCGCAAAAATCCCAGGCTTGCAACAACCCCGTCTTAAATCTTTCATTTGGACAGCTTACCTTGCGCTAGTAAAAACTCGACCGTTCCCAGGTGACCCTCCGAGGCAGCCATCATCAGGGGCGTCCGGCCCTGTTTGTCAGCCAGGTTGACATCTGCTCCGTGAGTCAGCAGGAGGTCTACAATCTGCACAACCCAAACGAATGATCAGTTAGCTGTAAAACTGCAGCACAACAGTTGTTTTCATCATCTTTTAATCTGCCAGTCTGTCAAGAGAATATCCAAAAGAAAAAAGATTACATTTCCATCCCAAATTTTCTAAAGCTTAAGCGGACTTATTGACGTGTTTTCTTATCTGAATATAAATCCAAAACCTAACAAGGTTCTGTTTGTAGTAAAAGCACCACATTCTCATTTGTGAGCCCTCGACCATAAAATGCCAAAGTTTTAGCTTAGTAAAAATCACTAGAAGTATCCCACGGCGGAGGATTAATCATACGGTGACAATAGTAAATCAAATAAAAAAATGAATGGATTCATATGTGAAAGATGTTCTTTTTGTGCCTTTTTGTACCTGCCAGTGGCCCTGTCTGACGGCGCTGAAGAGGGGGACGATGCCCCGCCTGTTGGGCTGAGCCACGGCCGCTCCCTGCTCCAGCAGCAGGCGGCACACCTCCAGCTTCCCCCGACCGGAGGCCGCGGTCAGAGCTGTGCGTAGCAGGAGAGAAGAGAGAGAATTCGTTGGGTGGAGTTAGACACCTTTAGCTGGTCTTTTACGCCTTTATTCCAATGGTTTCAAAATGAAAACATTGTATTGGAGATAGGGTATCTGTTATACAGTGGGGGAAATAAGTATTTGACCCCTTGCTGATTTTGCAGGTTTGCCCACTTACAAAGAATGCCTATTTTTTTGGTTATCAATTTTTATAAATTCATATGATGTGATTTTCTGGAATTTTCTTTGGGATTCTGTCTTTCACTGTTAGAATGTACATATGATTAAAGTTATAGATTGTTGCATTCTTTGTAAGTGGGCAAACCTGCAAAATCAGCAAGGGGTCAAATACTTATTTCCCCCACTTTAGGTTTTGGACTAAATCAACCACGATCACTTGGATTATCTGAGACTTTAATCGTTACTGTTGAACTGTATAAACAATCAAAATAAAACAAAAAGAATCTGAATGGGTCCAATGCTCCCTTATAAAAAAAAGGAGACGACACCTTTTTTGTTTTTTTTACCCCAGACGTAGTGATTATAATTGGAATGATTCCAGCGGTGTGAATACTTTTTTTTTTTTTATCAGACCCAAACCACAGCTATTTATTCTTTGATGGAAGAACACAAGAACATAAGGTCCGCGTGTCTGTAATTCCTAAATACGTAGTCTCCCCTGTCTCTCTTCCCCCTCTCCCCAAAATCATCTCGCAGAACAGCTGTTATCCTGCTGATCCCGTACAAACAGTGAAGGTATGGCTGAGTGAGCGCATGTTCCCCACCTCAGCTGGCAGAGAGGAGGAGCCGTTTCGGCTCTGCAGCCGGGGGGGGAATCGAGACTGTAATGAGGTTTTATAGCCTTAGGTTAGAATGATACATTAGGGTTTTCAGCGCCCTGTCACAGTGCGATCAGACTAGTCATTCTAAGCCCCCTGCAGCGCCCTCACCCCCCCCCCTGTCCTGTTTGAGCCCAGCCCCGAACGTGCTCCAGTCACACCACTGCACTGTCATCTGCATCTGACGCAGCAGCAGCCGACACACAAGAGCAATGGCTCCCATCCGCACTGCAGCGCTCTGCCTCGCGGCGCCACACATGGTCCCCACTCCTAGTCTCAGGATGAGCGTTTGCAAACGTCTGAGGGGGATCATATGATGATGCAGTCTCGCAGAAGTAATGTCTCATGCGAGTATTCCCACCTGTCTCTCCCCAGAGGGTGTCAAAGTTATTGATCTGTGCCCGTTCCACCTCTTCTTCATCTTTCTCAGGCAGATCCAGCAGATAAGATACAATCTGACAGGGAATAAAATTATATTGATTAATGACAATCTTTGTATTTGCTTATTTTAAAAAACCTTTCCTTCCTTATGTTCTAACTTCTAAAATTCATGAATACATGAACGTTTTTTCTTTACAGGATAACTAACAGGTCTATGGAAGAAAATATTTAAATTATTGAAAACGTACTTATTTATTTGTCCTTAGATTTCATCTCAGAGAAAAACCAAATGCTGCCAACCAATTTTCATTAAGTTAATAAAACTATTGATAAATAGTAAATAGTACAAAAAAATGGTAGATGGTGGGGGGAAATGTGTTTAAAAATGTATTTGCACTTAAATGAAAACACTCCATAGATAAAACTAAAACAGTAATTCATATGCACACCATTTACAAAGTAAAAATATAAAGAATGAAATGTTTCTTATATTTCCACTCTAAATTCCTCAGTCCTGTTTTAGCATTTCTCATTCCCTATTCAGTCAAATTGGACGTTTCTTTACGAAAACAAGCACAAAATGAAAACGTAAAGCCTTTCTTTGAACAAAAAACATCTAAAATAACATAGCGTGTGCCGTACCTCCGTGTATCCCATACTGGCCGCAGCAATGAGGGCTTGCTGGACCGCGTGGCTCTTGCTGAAGGCCTGCTGCTGCTGGCTCTGCGGTGACTGCTGCTGCTGGTGTGACCCCATGCTCCAGTCACACTGTATGAGGAACTTCACCACCTCCATGTGGCCCCTGAGGGCCGCGTGGACCAGAGCGCACTGGCCGTTTTTATCCAGGTGATCCACCTTTAATCAGAAGCACACAAAAAAAAAAGATCACACAAAAACCGCCTTTTACGGGGACGCGGTTAAAAAGGCCGAGCGGCTGGTCGTCGTCGTGGTTCCTCGCTGACCTTTGCCCTCCTGCGACAGAGAGCGGTGACGATGGCCATGTGACCGCCGGCGGCGGCGTAGCCCAGCGGCGCCAGGCCGCTTTCCGACTGGGCGTCCACGGAGGCCCCGAACTCCAGCAGCAGCGCCACCATGTCCATGTAACCCAGGTGCGAGTGGACGCACAGGACGGGGGCGTTGTTCAGCACCTCCGTGCGGTAGTTGACGTTGGCGCCGCCCAGCATCAGCAGCCGGCTCACCTAACGAAAGAAAATTAAAAAAAACCCTTCTGTGAGGCACTCGCGCGAAAAAACGAGACGCCGAAGCATCCCTCAAAAAAAAGTCTGTACCTTGATGTTGGGCGTGTAGAGATTTCGGAGTGAAGAAAGCGCCGCTGAAAGGCCCTCCGTACTGTAGGAAACCCACAGGCCTTGCAAGATAGATGAGGAAACGCCGACTCTTTTGCTCAGACCCTTGAAGACAGCGTGTAAATATTCATTACCGCAAAGCTCAGGCACAGCTGCTGCGTGGGGGCGTGTGTTTGTGTGTGTATATGGCTGAGTGGTGGTGATGGTGGGGGGACATATAATGTTATACCTTGAAGATATGTGCTTTGAGGATGTGATGGCCCAGCTCAATAGTCTGCTGTCTGTTCAGCTTGTTCTCCTGGCGAGAGAACCAGAAGGCCAATAGGGTGTGCCCACTCCTGCAGGGAAGATAAACACAAAGTCTTTCAAAGACTGAGTCATGGGGTCATTACATTGTGCTGTGTCTGCGCAGTGGGCAGAACTGGTTTTAATGATCATACAGGACACAGAATTCTATTTTTCTGCAGGGAAAAAGCATCGTTTACCAGCTATCAAGCAAGAGAAATCTTTTCATGAACACTGACTACGTGACTTTGGAGTCAAGGCTGCAGCCTGCAGTACATTCCAGCATGTTAAGCAACATCACAAGAGTAAAGTATCCGTTCCGACTCTCTAATATCGATTTTCTTTAGTAAGATTTTCTTCTTTTTTCTTTAAAACAGGTGTCTCACATCATGAAACATGCTTTTTTCTTCTCTTGTAGCACAGTCAGCTGGTGGATCACGGTCGGTCATCCATCCATATGAATTATTCCATTTGATTTAGTCAAAAACGAAAGTTGCTTATAATTTCCGAATTCTGAACATAGACAGCATAGACGGCAGCGTCGCACACAGAATCACTTCCCGCCGATCCATTACACATCTCCTCACCTCGGATCGCAGAGGAACTTTGTCTTTTCTCCCTCCTCTCTCCAGATCAGCCACTCTCTAAAGGACGGGTGAACAAACATCCGGGTGCCGTCCCTCCTCTTCACGAGGAAAACAGACAGGTTGTCCACACGTTGCTGGAAGTCCTCCCAGTCCAGGGTGCCCTGCAGGCATCACAGATGTTAAGAGTTTTTCCAAAATCTAATAGGGCTTTCTCAATGCAAAATTAAATTCTTTATTAAAAGAACCGGCACCAATTAAGGTAGTCAGTCTCCCTTAATGATCCGGCTAATTAAAAGCTAAATATGAAGAAAAAAGGGCAGGAGGAGTAAAACCCAAGAAATTAATTGTTCATAATTGTTCATTTAAGATGGAACCCCAAATAATGAATGAAAGATGACCCACTGGCTGCTGTCATCCTACCTGCAGCGAGCCGGCGTTGATGGCCTGATAAATCTGCTCGTCGTTGAGCGGGTGGAGCGAGGCCACGGCCACGTTGAGCAGCGGCAGCGCCCGCTCAAACGACGACTGCGTGGGGAAGCGCATGTTGCACTGCAGCAGGTACACCTCGGCCAGGTTGACCGGAACAACCTGAGAAGGGGGAAGGAGACGGTCCGACTCATCACTTTCCCCGTCTATATCGGTTCCACACAGTTTGAATAACGCACGCCGTGCGCAAAATGCTTCTTTGACTGCTCCACGAGGTCTGCCGAAGATAGAATATCAGTTCGCCGCTCTCAATTTTTCCATTTTTGACGGGAAGTATCGAATTAGATTTGCTTTTCATCAGCCGTTTCACAGATAACCCTCACATAGATGTGCAGAACACTTTAAAAAATGTCTCTGAAGCCAGTTACCAAATGGAATCCACGAACGGGGGCCTGATTTGTGATGCGCATTGCTGTTTCCAGCTGTAAATCACAGCCATTGCTGCTCCACCAGCTGGCCATGTTAATGACGGGATGAATCAGTGGATACCCTCCAGCTGTCAACAGCAAAGTATTTCGGAACACCTTCACATGTGTCTGTACATTTTATTCTCCTCTGGATCGTTTTTCTCGCGTCATTCGTTTCACACCCCGATTCAACAAAGTGTCAAATCCTCCAGTTGCGAAATATCAACGTTATTCAAAGCAATGAAGAGCATTAGAAATAAAAAGAAATTTAAAAAATCCTTACCTTGTAGCTTGAACTTTTGAGGACAAGGTAGCCCTTCTCAATGAGGTCAAAGGTGAGTTTGAGGTACAGATAGGATCCCTGACTCAGGGCCTTCAGGTGGGCGCTGAGCTTGCCGAAGGTGGTGTTGTCCATCTTCCCGTTGAGCGAGATGTTGTTCTGGATCTCCGGGCTGCTGTGGATGCGGTGCAGGATGTAGCCCTGCAGGTCCTGGTCTATGGCGTCGTTCTCCTCCAGGCTGTCCAGAGAGATCCGGTGAAAGGGCAGCGTGCTGGTGATCTCCTGCCGAGTCAGAATCATTTCAGTCCGGACGCATTTTTTAGCAAATCTATGCCAAGTCGCTGACTTCTTAATTTGCAGACAAGAAAAGTGCATTTAATAGTGAAATAACCACCAGGAAACAGCCAAAAGCGCTGTATAATATCACGTTAACAAATGAATTATTCAATACAAATCCAGAGTTATCCTGTAATGTCAGAGAGAGGATTTATGGCAGTGGAATTTCTACCTGTAACGTGGTTCTGACTGTGACCACCAGCTTAAGCCAGGGAGGGAACTTGTTGATGGTTTTGGTGAGGAAGGACACAATGGTGTCCCCATAGTCCGGCTTGTGGAACTCTGCCTCGTTGAGGCCGTCGATGAGGATAATGAGATCTTCTTCAGAGTTGATCTTCCTCTCTGAACAGTTGGCATGGAAACAGAAACAACTTAGAGCGTGCGTGTGCAGTATATTCACAAAAGCAAATTGAATTCCGCGTCGACTAAGCCCAAAATCATTACGCATTCTGCCTGGGCCACAGATTTACAACATTTATATGATTGCAAGGTAAAGACAAAAACATTAAGGGAAGCTGCACTTTAACCAAACTTAACCCAAATCAATTAATACACTTGACAGAGATTTCTGAAGAGGCAGAAACTCTAAAAGATGAGACAAAGATATAAAAAAAAGACTGGAAAATCCAAAGGCAAAACATTTCAAAGACGGGACTGGACTTAAATAGAGGTTCAAAATGTATTTTACAGAGTTATTTTCCACCACTCTCAGAGGTTTGAAGACCGTCTGAAATACCTTTGTAAAGTGCGTCCAGAGGCTCCAGGACCCCCTTCCTGAAAGAGGCCAGGGGGTCCTGGACGCAGGAGCGCAGGCTCAGGGTGCCCTGCAGGTGGGGCTCCCTCAGCAGCTGCTCCCTGTAGGCCACCAGGTGCGGCGAGCGGCACAGCAGGGCCGCCACGTTGTGCACGAACTCCGGCACCAGGCAGGTGTAGGCGTTGTCCGCCTGGCAGTAGTGGTACGCCACCACCTGGGGGCGACGGAGAGGTGTGAGACGTGGAGAAAAACTCCCAACCTTGATCAACCTTTGGGTATTGCAAAACCGATTGAAGAAGTGTCGGGGAGCACTGAGGGGTGGATGACACACTTCTGGAATAACATTTTTTTTTTTTCCAGGGCTCTGCCAGTGCACAGTCAGTTTTTTTTTTCTTTCTTTTTTTCCCAGTGTCTACTACAGCTAAAACTCATTTGGGACTAAGTCAACTTCATGGTGGATGATTGCAGCATAATGAAACATAATACTTCTCGTTTCGCTGTATGGATTTAGCCATTAATAATTCATTGCTTCCGGCAGCCAGGAGAGACTGATTCGGAGTTAGCTCGTGCATGTGTGAGATGGCTGTCTCATACAGGAGTCGAATGTTAAGCCGTTGCGTTGCAGTGCCACGTGTTTGAAACACGATCACATGAGTGATTATTCAAATGAATGGGTGAGTGGGCATGAAGACACCCGTGCATCTCTGTAAAAAGTGAACAGGAAATTAAGGGGAGGTTAGCCAACTGAACAGCAGGTGTGACCGGGGGCTCCAGGGGGATTAAGACATCACAAAGAGTTTGAGTTTTCAGAGGTGGTGGGAGCGATTACAGGGCAGTGGGAAAAAGAGAGGATATTAAAAAAAAAAAAAAACGAACTAATGAAATTGGAATGCTAATTTTTGGTCACTATGGAATCAAGGGCTTTAAAACAAAAGGGGTGAAAAAGGGAGTGAGCTCAATTATTAATGCACAGAGTTAACAAGATCTAATAGCCTGGCTGGGAAACGGCTTTCTGCAGGTTTAAATATTTCATAAGGCTCCCTGGCAAAGTTGTTTTTTCTTTTTTAAACACATCTGCATAATGCATCAGGCTGGGACCGTGGATGCAGATGGCTAACCAGCAGGGAAGGGGGATCGAGGTGCAACAGACAGGAAGACGAACACGAGAAGAGAGCTGGTCTCACACCTCGTCCAGGTTTATATTATGGATGGAGCAGAAGTTCAACACACGCATTTAACAGGACAAACAGCATGCACTGTAAAAAAAACGGGCTAAATGAAAGTCTAGACATATAGACAGCTGTTTTGTATTCTATAACCTCAGGACAAAGAGCTGTGTGGGTGCACCAAGGTGATGTCAGCGGCCTTTAAATGTATCATTTCTGATGGATCCTGTGTTTTGTAGAGGGACTTTCAACAGAAGTTGTCAGCACTTATTCTCCTATCTGTGCTATCGCTAACAGAAAAATGATCTAACATAAATTTTGGGAGACATCTAAAAATGATCTTGCAGTTTTTATTCAAAGGGATTTAGGAAATTTCATGACTTTCCGCATCCAGAAGATAATAACCCGGAAAGCTGCTATTCTTTGTTAAGAATCCGCAATAAAACAACTGCAAAGAAGACTGAAATTATCTTGACACAATACCTTTCTAAGTATGCAGCAATCAAGTGAAAGCTGACATTTCTCATTATTTTCCATAAATTGAGTTATTTCTTAAAGAAATGGCTAGCTAACATACTAGGAATTTGTATAAGCAGCTATAGGGAAAGGGTTAACCGTAAGTAGCATAAGTAAATTCTTAAGTCTCTAGGAGTGTATTGTCTTTAAATGAGAGGATCACAAGTAAATAAGGAGTGGCGTGTTTGCACCTGAGACGCCAGCCTCCTCATGCCCTCCTCCTGCCGTCGCCTCATCTCAGGGGTTCCTGGACAGCTGCCTCCTCCGAGGGTGCCGTGCGTAGGCTGGGGCTGGGTGAGAGGAAGCCCCTCTCCGTCTGAATGAAAGGCAGCAGAAAAAAACCCACTCATCGGGAAAGCTCGAGCTCGAGACGCATTCACAAAATGTTTTCAAACAGTTATTCTCAAAAACAAAAGCCGAGGCGAGGCTGTGGAGCTGTTCTGAAACGCTGTAATTTGCGGGCTGAAAGCGAGCAGGGGGGAAAATACCCTCATTTTGCAAAAGAAATAAAGAATATTATAATATAAAAAGAGGAAATGGATCTGTGGTTACTGAATGCCTACGTTTGGGGGAGGCTTGAGGGCTGTCGGAGGCAATCTGCCTCATCCGGGTGCCGTGGCAGCTGAGCGCCACCAGGCGAGAGATGATGGCCGTTTTGCCGAAGCCGATATTGCCCACGATCACGACGCCCTGGTTGGTGCTGGAGTTGGGGCTGTTGAGGTGGCCGTCGATCTCTTGGAAGAGCCACTCGCGGCCGGTGAAGACGGAGTCCATGGTGATGCTGGGCACCTCGAACAGCAGCGGTTTGAGAGCGATGTCTTGGGGCCGATAGGGTGCAAAACGCACTGCCGAGTCGGAAAATGGAGACATTTTTCAGCGGTATTACAGTTATGAGCCACAGGTATGTTATTTGAAGTAACAGTCTCACGCATCTGAAAGAGGGTGGGTTGCTTTTGGCAGAGAGTATCCATATCCAAACGCTGATATTTGATAACAGAAGTTTGGCATTTTGCCTTTTTTTAATTTATTTTTTTACTTATGCTACAAAAAACATAAAAACTCTGACCTATTGTGGTCTTTAAAGCTTTTTTTTTGTCCAGCCTTGATGTGTAATTTGTCTTAGAAAGAACTACAGTGACCACTTTTATCAGCCACTGTTTCTTTTTATCACTAGGGGGAGTCATTAACCCAAAGTCCTCCAGAGGTTGGGTATCTTCTCAGCCAAACATATGGACCATTAAAGACTAATGAGGGCAAAATGAATCTGGTAGCAACTTCTAAAGGCGTGTGATAAAATAAATGTAAAATGCAGTCTGCTGCTTCTGGGTGTCATCTCATGGGCCTCCTCTTTTAAACCGATTTTGGCTTTGAGAGCCCAAAAAAAAAAACAGGCTCTGTGTTATTGGGTGGGCCTGGTATGTGAATAATCTAAATGCTTTAAAGGCAAGAGCGTTTGCGACATTATTACAGCACAAAACGACTTGACACAAAAGGGGCAGAGCATGCTGCCCGACGCGACCAACCAAAGTTAAAGCAACTTACGTGACTGGGATTGCCAGGCATGGGCGTTATTTGCGGAAGCTGAGACGAAAAAAGCAAAGCACAAGACAGAGAGAGAGAAGAGGAGAGTGATGAAAGAGGAGAAAGAAAAAAAAAGCAAGTGAGGACAAGAATGACAGTCGGCAGCAGTGTGCAGTGTGTCACAGGGCAGGGCAAGGTGGGAAAATAAATGAAGCGGCAGCAAGCGGCATCAGCACATAATGATGTCAGAGTTATGGGGAACCACCAAACCAGGGTCGATTTCTAATTGAAATCCTTTGAATCACCTTAAGGGCACTTCTCAGCAGGTCTGGAGGGGAGGCTGGGGGGAAGGTTTGCACTTTAGGGAGAATCTAATTGGTTCCATTGTGCAGCGCGAGATCAATCAATCCCCATAAAAGTAATTGAATCCAGTTCTGGTAGTAATTTGATCCCAGGATGGGAGACCTCTACTCCACAGCCTATTGTGTACACACAGCAACTTATTAAGAGTTTAATCAAAAGCAAATCGCCATCAGCTCAAATCCAAATCCAAAATGTGAGTGTTTGGGAAAAATTCGGGCAAATAAAATAAAAGACAAATGATACTTTCTCTTGGTTTATTCACTAAACCAACGCGTGATCGGATTGGTGGAGTGTGAAAAAGGGATGCTGCTCAGACGATAGCCCGAGTGGTAGTTCATTTCACACTCTGCGGCATATTAGCAATGAGTGTGCCCAGAGTCAGGGATACAGGGAAAAATGTACTATGCGATATCTGGGTGGGATGAAATGTTGAGAGTGTGCAGAATTTTTCATGTGTTGGCATAAAAGTTTCTATATTGTGAGCAGGAACAAGAGCAAAACACATCAGGGTGCGGGGAGGGGATGGACGTCGTATTAGAGCTGTATTTCTGCTGTAAGTGACTCCAGTGGACTCATCAGGAGCATAGCTGCATATAACGAGCTGATATCGGCCCTAATGCAGTCTGTAGCATGAAGCACTTCAAAGTGCTGTTGCAAGCACGGCTCCTTTTCCAGGAATGCTAATTATACTTGCGGACCGAAAGGAAATATGATGATCTCGCTGAGAACGCACCTTATGCAATCAGCAAAATGCTAAGATGCACCTAGAAGTGGGTGAAAAGCTGTTTATACAGAGTGCACGGCCAGCACTGCCTTTCGCAGCGCTAAAGCTGCGTGCCAGCTGCGGCTCAGTGTAATAAAAGACATTTCCTCCATATTCCCCAGGTTAGATTATTTTAGCACTGACTCAACAAACACAAAAAAATGCATTTGGTCAGACAGCAAGAGGGCAGAGAGCGACTGATGTAATATTCTTCCAGACAAATCTTCCTCTCTGAAGGAGATGACCTGATGCAAGACCGGTGGTTTGACATGCAAAAAAACCTGCCCAATACTTCCTACACCCTCGGCCACTGAGGTAAGAGGCTAAATACCCAGAGATACTCTGTTTTAAGTGGTGCTAATCCAATTATCTTGGGGGTGGCCGAATGCCGAACGTGGCCGCAAAGCTCCGAGCGTCCTTGTGGAATTAGCGAACCCAACCTCGTGCTATCAGGCGCTATCCTTCCAAAACGACTAAGCTGCTTTGCACGCTTCGAGGTGTGCAGCAACCGCTGCTCCAACTGTGTCAGAGCATTCCAGGAAAAAAAACACGGCGGCCATGTTGTGAACGGGGGCCGAGGGAGCCGTTTTTAACGGACGGTGAGGGAAAAATGTGTGCGAGGGATGGATGGATGCATGGCAGGCGCTCATAATCCTGCCTATAACACCCCCCCTCGGGCCACGCTGAGCAAGGTATCACTCCCCCTCCCCTTCCTCCTCCACCACCGTACCTCCATGGCCAGACAGAGCGAGAGTCTCAGACTTTTTAAATTATTCACCAGGTGGGGATGAGTCAGGGTGGCTGAGCAGCCCTGAGAGGGAGGAAGAGGAGGAAGGAGAGGAAGTGGTGGACACGAATGAGAAAAAAGATGGTGGGGAAGGAGAAGAAACGGAGAGAGGAGGAAAAGAAAAAGCAGTCCTGATTGCTGTGAAGGGTTCAAAGAGCGTGATGATTGGTTCACCGGGTCACCTGAAAACGAAACTTCGTCCCTTCATCTCCCGTCTGGTTTCAAAGCTTCAGCTAAGAGCAAAAGTGGAGATCTTTTAACAGAAGATGTAGAGCTACAGCTTGGGCTTGGAAGAGTACAACCAGAACTACAAGATCTTATATAATTACCGAAATAACAAAAACAAAAAAACCCTCAAATCTTATGTAATCCTCAGAGTAGGCTAAGAGCAAAATAAATAAACTTAGATGTCTACTGCAGCATGCAGCTTCACACTGTCACTGAACACATTTCGAGATATTCTACTGTTTACCAACATTACATCTACTGGTTAGGCAACAGGAAAACTGTCTGTAAAAGACAGAGCTCAGTGCAACAAGTCCTACAGATTTCCTTTATTTTAAACAAAGGCGGCATCCCAGAATGGTAAATGTCACCATGAGTCCATGTCTCCACTGTGCCCTGAAGCACAAATTTAGTTTTACTGTCAGTTTTGCAACATTATATCCCCATAAAGTTATAAATCATTTTTTTAGTTATGAGATCACACAGGAATAACAGAGAATAAATTGCATATTTATGAGCCATACACCTAGCAGCATGGACTCTCACTGGATATTGTGGCTTATGAATGCCATATAAAAGCCCTGATACTCTCCAAGGAGGTGTCAATCAAAAGCTGAGGAGGCAGGCTTTATTTTCAAATCACTGCATAAAGAATGTGTGGCTGCCAATGGGACTTCATAGAGAAAAATATATGTTACTTCAAGTTTCTTTTTATCATCGCTGGTGTTTAATGTATCCACTGTGGTAATCATATCTTAAAATACTGATGGATTGGTGTATAGCCTTCACATTTCACATCTATGATATAATAAGTGTTGCTTTTGTGGTTTTACTAGAAGCTGCTTCTTAAAATAACCATTTCAAAAGGTATGAAAGACAAAAACTTAACAAATTAAAAAGATGGATTTTGTTCACGAATGAAATCAATTTTTAAAAAGACAGGTCCTCAAGATGTGCATTATGTAAATTTGCAAATGACAACTATAAATAGGTTTGGGCTGAAGAGGACTGATAATTGAGCAGTGTTCCCTGAAATGTCATCTTATCTATTACTATAACTTTTGAAATGAGCATGAACACCATAAAGCAAATACCCCCAAAAAAGAACTCTGATTTAAACAGCAGGTGTGAAGAGTCAAAACTCAACCTTTGAACATAATGAACGAAGTAATCATGAATTTTAACGACGGTCTAAAATTGTTTACATGGCCAAGAAAGTCCCTTTTTACGTCAGAGATAAAGTGTGAATGTTCGTCTCAGGGAATTGTGTACAGATAAATGAGCTGTATCAGACTGTGAATACATAAGCGAAGCTTCTTTATGGGACAGATTTATTATTTGTTTATGGTATTCTTATTAGGTGTGTTCGCGGTAAGAGATATACCTCAATTTCTCATCAAATATGGCACTAAACTGCATTTCTAAAAGTTCTCTACCGTCACCTCCGTCGGGGAGTGATAACCCTGTCTGAAAACCCAAAAAGATTTTCATTACCACTCTGAATTCATTTCATTTTCAAAAGCCGCAACAATCAGCTCCAGTGCGACAGCTGTTTTCTGTCCATGAGCAGAGGCAGAAAGACAGTAAAGGACGGATGGAGGGAGGGAGGATGGAGAAGGACAAAAACAAAGAGGGTAAAGTAAAGATAAACGAGGGAGAAAATGTCTGAAGCGGAGCACAGTTATGTGAGAGACTTTGGGTGAAAAGATAAGGTGGGTGGTAAATCTTAGAGGTAGGCAGGCGGGAGCAAAAGAAGGTCCATTACAGTCTGACTCACTCTCCTCCCAACAGCAGCACAGCTTGGGCCCCCCGATGGCAGGCATTAAGGCTTTCGATAAAAATCAACCACATAGCGGGCCGCGTCTGTCGACTGGTTACCACCTGACCAATGCGCCACCCACGGTCTTCCACCGCTCTGGAAGTCTGCACCCGGGTCCTGAAACACAGGCTTTCTGGGAAGCCCCTGCACGATTCGCTGTGCGAGTGCAAGGTAGGATTTTGGAGCTTTCGGAAAGACAAAAGGACACGGGAGGTGAACGCGTGATTCCTCCTCTGGTAACTTGTCCGATGATGACTAATCCCACAGAAATCTGGACAGTAGCTAGCTACCTCTCGGTGGACTGCCTTGTTGGAAACCATAGTCCAATACAGCCTAACCCTTTAGTCTAGATGGATGTGAAAGGCTGTTTTTCAGCCGGCTTGCTTTTGGGTCCTGTCTTTCTGCGCGTCCTCCTCCGTCTCTCCTGCTGAAACCTCAGCAGCGGGGCACTCAGGGAGACTGTGACACTGATCCGAGGAGGCAGAAAGCATGCTAGGACCGGGCCGCCTGCCTTGTAAACACATTTGGCCGCCCCTCGAACCAGCAAGGTTGAAACAAGCAACTCTGGCAGTACAAGTGGAGCCTTTAGAGGGACGACGCCTTTTTCCCTCCGTCTTTCGTCTTTTCTCTCACCTGCCGTGTCCCCCCCCCCACCTTTCTGCTTCCCTCTAACGCTCCTTTGCCTCCGCTCGCCCCCCCCGAGCAGGAGAAAACGCATCACAGTTCAGTGGAGCGCTCCCCGGGGCTACAGCCAACGTAACAGGTGGTTAAAACACACGGGCTGCGCATCTGTTCTCACTTGGATGGCTCAGGCCTCCCACCGCAGCGCCCGTTACCGACTATAAGTCAGGGAGGAGAGAGGAGACGAGCCCCGATACCGTTGTGACACGAGGCCATTTGGAAAGCGGGGCTGAGGAGGCGCTTGCTGCGTGTTAAAAATTAAACAGCGTGCAGCGAAGCACACACACTGTGACGATTAAGTACGGAGGCTAATTTTAGGATTGTAGTGACACAGGCTGACAAAAGACTCCGTGTACAGCGTGTGTGATTCCCCCCCCCACTTTGCACAGGGAAACACAACAGACGCGTCCACCTGCAGCTGCACGGACACATCTGCCGGCAGGGATTAGGGATCCGGGAGGGGGGGATTCGGGAATGAAAAAGGCTGCGAACTGTAAATCATGGTCGCCATTTTTGTGTGTCAAACAGCTCTGTTTATTGATGAGACCCAGGGCACCGAACAGTCATCTGCCCTGATGTGAACCCACCGGCTAATTAAAACCAGACCAGAGTTAAAGCAGTTGTTGACTCCGGTGAAAAACAGCGCTGGCTGAATGCCCTGAACGCACCACAGTTCCCCCACCTGCACCCTCCACTTCAGCGTTTTCAGCTTTTCTTTTGTATTGAATTCAACGCCGAATCTGTGATTCTGGATTCTAATAAAAAACATCGACTGTACTATATTGATTGGTTCACAGTCCAACTGGGATGTCTTTGCTCATCCGTACTTAAAAGATTTGCTGATATTTTTGGTGGCGTGTGTGTTAAGACCGGGACAATTCCTCCAGTGTTCAGGCCATTTGGATTCAGCTTCTGCCAGCGACACAAAACCAACATTTTTTTTTGTGTTCCAAACAGCCATGAAATTCCACAGAGGGAAAGGGGGGGGGGGGGGCGGCCGCGGGGGTCTGCTCACCTCTCAGGTCCGGCCCGGAGCGGCCCGGCCCGCAGGTGGTGCTCTGCCGCGGCATGCGCAGCGAGGTGCGCAGGGGGGCGTGCCTCTGCTCATCCAGGTAGGCCAGGTCCTCCAGGTGGGCCGAACTCGTAGCTGTTGGCGGAAAGGGGGGGGCGGAAAGACGGAAGGAGCAGGATATTTCAAAGACGGGAGAAAGACAAAGACACAATCGTCAGTATGTACGCACACTTGCTGTAAACCAACTTATGATACGATACGTACGCAGATATACAAAAAAAAAAAGTTTTTTAAAAAGGTGGGAAAAGTTCATGCAGGTGTCCCGGGACAGTTGTCAGGCTCCCGCTCCCGAGCGGAGCCGGGACAACACGCTTTCTGTCCTCCGGTTCCCTTTCCTCTCCGTGTCTGTCACGAGGCAGGCAGGAGGCAGGCAGATGCCATCCGGCCCCTCTCAGGATTAATTAGCTCAGCAGACAAATGTCTTATTCATGGGGAGAGCGCCGTCTGACGCCGGCTGGTGATTGTTCACACCACACTGTGCGTCGGGGGGGGGGGCCGGACTCAGAACCACTGAATGGTGAATGAGATCAGTGGTTGTGTGTAAGCAACCCACTTGATTCCACGTCTCACCTGAAGCCAACAGGTCAGACAGCGGTGACAGAAGTCCAGGAAAAGACCCTTTATCTAACAATAAAATCCAGGGAGGATTAAGGGGACTTAACCATCCCGAGTTTAGCAGCTCCTTGACAGCTGAGGGCCACGTTTATTTAAGGGAAGAAAGAGGCGGACTAACGCGAAGAAAGACAATCCAAGTAAAGATAAACTATTTGAAATCAGGTCATTAAAAAGAAAACAAAAATGTGTTCAAATTCTGAACACTCTCTGTAGTAATTCCTGAGATAGAAGAAAACGGAAATATAATTTGAACACAGTCCGACGACAAAGAAATGGTCATCATATTAGATTGAATCAGTTCAGGATGAATTCAGCTACTTTGTATGGAGACAAAACCCTACAACCATCCAATGTCAGACAATGATATTCTTACAGTTTGACTTATAATTGAACAATTTTCCGTCATTTTCTCTTCAGACGGATAAGGCTTACCAAGTGGCTCGTTTAAAACCTGCCTGCAGCTATTTCCTAAAACTGAGCTCCCTAAAAGATTGGGTTACCTTGGTGATCACAATTATGGTCACCACAGTGGACAGAATGGATGGACAAGCCGTTTCACCCTGGAAATCCACTTCCTGGCTCATGTTATTCAACGAGCAAAATCAAAGCGAGTGACATTTCTTTTTGCACAATACCTGATATAGTCTGAGCTTCTAAGATCCATTCAGTTTCAAGGATCTGGAGGGAGGTAATAGGAAACCGTGATTGTTCTCATTTGCATCCTTCGTTTGTCTCTGTAGTCACCGAGAGTGAAAGCACAGTAATCCTCCAGACAGCAGGACTGTGAGCCACCCTCCTCTCACCGACACCTCAACGCTGATCCTCGTTCATTACGTACAGAGATCGGCTTCTGTGCTCCCCCCAGTTAAACTTAGCCAGCCAGCGGACGTATGTGTTGCTTGGGGCTTGAGTCACCCAGGCCACGGACCAAAGAAATAAGCCACATGAGTTTCCCAAAATGGTGGGAAAATGGCAGCTGGGAATGTTGGAGGCTTGGCCCTGATAGGGGGGAAAAGAAAAAAAAAATGGAGAGGGGGGGTTGTATGCTGGTCATCCAACTGGGATGAAAGCAGAGAAAGTGGATGTATTAAACTGCCGCTGAACTGAAGAAGAATGACTCAGAACTTCCTTTTTCACCGGCTTTCGGCTGCGTTTGAATGTGAGAACTCAAATCTGTGTGCTCATCATTCCCATCTGCAATGCAGCAGGCTGCTGGGGGATCACGTTCACAGCTGCTGTGCCAATGCGCTACGGCTACACGCGGAGAGGGAAGAAATATACAGTAGGAGAGGCACGGGACGGGGGGAGAGAGCAGAGGTGCCCGGAAAAAAAAGCCCGAGTGAGCGGCGGAGCGCTGAACTTCCTGTTCAGAAGAGCGATGGATGGCGTGAACACATGCGTCCGCACACACATAAACACTGAAACAACAGCTGGACTGCTGGCCAGCACCGGTCATCCGAGATGTGTGGCAGTTACTGGGGCTTTGTATCCAACACACTTCCCTTCTCTTCCTGCTGAAAGCGGCCTTTAGTTGTACCCAAGCAATTTTCATAGAAAATATTGCTCGATCACTCACAATTTTCGTCTAAATTGAAAAATGTCATGACAAATCAGCTGCAAAAGGAGGCCAATCCAGATCAGAGATGACAATATATGCACGGGTACCTTATAAAAGTCAATGCTACATAAGCCTTAAGGCTGTACGATATTAATAAACATATCCAAAGCTGTCAAGGATGGGCCTAAACTTTTTAAAAGTTTCAGAACATTTTATAAGCAAAAAGCTTCAGTGATACCTACAGTGAAGTGTTCTTTTTTTAAACCATGGACACAAAAACCTCTTCAACAAACACAAATCTGCTTTTTTCTTACAAACCTAAACATCCAGTGTGTTGAAAGAATAGGTCAGAACCGGGATTATCTTTGTTTTCTGGCTAGTGGCTAGTTTTTCCCTAGCGTCTAAAAATGGGCATAGTTGGTTTTAACTTTCAGTTAGATACAGCGAAAGGAAATGAATGTCAGAAAAATCAATTTAGTATTTGACCATAACAGTCAGGCAATTAAAGAATATGCATTGTAATGTGCTAACGCGTCGTTATAAAGCACCTTTTCTGTATGAATCTCATTAGGTTTCCTAGCGTGGTGAGGGCCATGTGCTTTTGTGAATTAAATTAACTCATTAACTTGTTAATTAACTAAATGAACACTTCCGATTTTGGACAAACTGAATTCATTTCTCTGCAACCCAAATGAGCAATTCATTTAAAAAGGCTCTTTCTTTCACTGCAGTGGTTATTAGCTTTTGGAGGCCAAAAAACTTTTAGCTAAAGCTCTTGTGACGCATTTCGCAATGTTAACGGAAATGTTACTCATCTGCACCAAATTACAATAAAAACAAGTTCTTCCTGTATCTCGCCTCCCGGCCTGGTTTCTAAAGCTTCTAAAAAACTATTAGAAGTTAATGAACTGGAACTGTATAAGTTTATTACTGAAACACACATTAAATCTCTTAGATTGACACATAAAAAGGCATTCAATACAGAGTATGAGTTAAACAGGCATTATTTCAGGCACATCTCATTGTAACGATACCCACACATACCAGGTAAAGCTGGGACAGATCAAAGCCGACGTGTCAGCCAAAGCCTTAAATCAAAAATCGTAGAAATAAATGCAGTAAATATGCGTTCTACATAACGGTTCGGTCTGATCACCTCCTACTGAGCAGTGTTTTAAATCAGTTGTATGAGAGCTCCAGATATTTTAGAAAAAGAAAAAAAAGTTTCCTGTTTCAACTACCAATTTCCTGGATGTGGGTCATTTAGGTGATATCAGGAAATTGTAGCTGTTCCACCCACCACTAAAAGTAAGCTCCGAATCTCCGGGGGAAACACTGCAATGAAAAATATTGGCTTTTACCGCATATGACTCGAATTTGGGGTGCTTTTTTTAAAGCTGGAGTCGAGCAAAAGTTACCAATTAGAAACTGCCTTTGTAAGCGTTGGCTGACAGTGAGCACGTCTTTCCAGATTTCATCTATTACAAACACTGATCACAGTGGTGTCCTTGGTTCTCTGGCTTTTGGTCATGCTGTTCCGGTCTGTTTTCTTTGTTAGGTTTTACGTTCTCTCGGCTTCTTGTTTTATTGTCTGCTCACAAAAGTGACGTCACAGTGACTATGAGCGGTAGTCCGCATAGCAAAGCGCCTTCTCATATCAAAGCTGCAACTGCTCTGCAGCAATAAGCCAAAGTGCCTGCTGGGAGGAAACATTCTGGCTTTTACCTGTGGGAATATAATCATCATGTCTGTAAGGTCTAGCAAAAGAAAATAACAGGGGCTGAGGTTAGATATCACATAGCAACGATACATTGTCAGTGAGTCATAGGGAGTCGATTACTGCGACCGAATTTAGGCTTTCATTTCTCTTGTGAATGTATTTATTTATTTATTTTAAATAGATGGGCAGCGGGGGTTTTAGGCACCAGTATGATGCATAAGAAGAAGAAGCCTCCTTGGAGCTTGAATCACAGTCACTTACTAAACCTCAACAGCTTAAATATGGACGGTTTCTCATTTCAAATCTTTCTAAGTTTTGCAATCACTAATTTTACAACTCGACGCGGCTCTACTCTCAAATCTACACTGGCAAAGCCACGGAAAGATGATTACAAAAAAAAAAGGAGAATACTTTGTCCTAGTTGTTTCTTCCTCCATATCCATCTTCAGCACTACCAACGCAGAGCCTTCATTAGGTAACAGAGTATCCCCCTCACTCCTCGTCTCTCTCCCCGGTCGCCTTCTGCTCTCCCTTTTTCTATCTCCCTTCCTCTCCGCACATCAAAGCGAGTCTCTCTGTCACTCTGGGGGATAGAAACGGTTAATGCCTGGGGCTTTGATGTTCCACTGCCATGTGAGCCCAGCCAATCCTCAGCCTGCGCTCGCCTCCCCATCCCCTGCATCATCTAATAATTCTTTGTGGAGGAGAGGCAGAGTGAGAAAAAGAGATTATGAAACTCTCTTCTTTTCTTTTTTTTTTTTTTTTCCCACTCCTCTTCCCTGCGTATCCGTCTCCTCCTAAATATGGAGTTCCTGTCCCTGAAAAATACAAAATCACCAATTGCCTCGCTCCCTCTTTTCAGTTTAGATTCTCTTTATTTTATTTGCATCATCTCTAGCTGGCAGCGCGTGTTTGGAGCCGTCTCCAGCCCCGTCTTTGAAGATGTGGGGTGTGAAGGGCGTGGATGAGATGGAGTATGAATCTCTGAAGAGGCCGGGCTGGCAGACAGGAGTGTCAAACAGCCTGAACATGACCAGCATAAAGAGAGAGAGCCACAGCTGCCCCGACAGGCCTTGTCAGGCACATTACTGTGTTTAGCGAAACACACGAGCGCCGACGTGCGCAAACACACACGTTTTTTTTTTTTTTTTTCCCCAGCAGGAGTGGGAGAAGTAGATAATAGAGCTCATCGTCTGTTTCAGCCTCTCTGATGATGAGAACAATAATACAATCAGGCCCATTAGGACTGCCTCCGTGTTATGAAACTGACATTCTTCCCTGATGTTTCGCTGTTACTTTTGGGAGCCGTCTGTGGCCAACAAGACGAAACGCACATCAGTTAGCAGTACAAATGCCAGTTTTTCCAGCCACGGCGTGATTTTTTTTTGTCCCCCCCCCCGGAGAAGCCGTTTCCCAGATTGGTTTTTGACCCTGTGGTTTCGTTCTACAGAATGTTGTTGTGAATTTGCAACTACCAGGTATTTTAGTACAAACCATTAAGACCTGAAAACCTGCTTCCTACCTAAATCATATTATTACAACTAATCTAAACTATCTTAATCTAAACAAACCACAAAGAAGCTCGGATTTAAGATACTTTTTCCTGATTTAAAGAAATGGGATCTACAGCTGTTGTGTCAGAGGTTTTGCTTACACAGTCGGGCATTGCCTTGCAAGTCGCCTCATGAAAACACTTTGAAATATTCATCTGTCGGGATGAAAAATTCAGCATTTCATTGTTACGTTTGCGATCAAAGGAGTCACACCAACGGACATCAAAGAAATCCAAGGTGGGAATAATAGTGCATCACACAAGAAAAACAGGCAAGATAATGAGGGTTGAAAGAACAGAAGAAGGAGTCAGAAATAGGGTGTAATGTGACTGAACACCAGCAGTTCAATCCATTTTGGATGGAAAAAGAACTGCGCACTGGCAAAACGTGTCCACCACATGGCAGACACCCTCATTTCTGTCTCCCTTCATTTTTCTTTCAGAGGATAAGGAAGGAATAAGGAAGGGGACTCACCAGCCACAGAGTTAGGGCGGGGCATGAGGTACAAAGGGATAGAGTGGGCGGAATGGGAGGACATGCTCTCCAGGTTTCGCTCGGGGATTTTGTTGAGGCTGTAGGTGGAGGCGGTCATGTTTTCGTCCACCCTGTACAGGAACGAGTCCATGCCTGATTTCTGAGACTGCCACAGCTTGAGGTTCCCCCGGGAACCCTCGCCGTACTTGCCGCCTCGCTCCATGTTCTCCGAGTAGCTGGTCAGAGTGGCTGCGAAAGAGAGAACGACACCGGTTTTTTCAGGGTATTGGTCACACCGGGGGTTGCTCGCGTTTCCCTCCCTCCTCCCCACCTCTACTTTCACATCTATTTACCGTTGCTCCGCATCAACTGCGTGTTGATGCTAAGCTATTCCTCTCAAACTGCAGGTGTTCACAGTTGTTGCCGGGAAAACAATGATGACATCTGCTTTGACATCGGGAGCATTTTTACCTCCGCTGCCGTCTTTCAAACGATGCGCAAACACTACAGTCCGTGTCAACACAATCAAGTGTCTAATTTCCCTTCAACAGAGGGAACAGATAAAGGACTCGTACAATGGAGCAGGTTCAACATGCTCAGGTGTGTTCCAATCATATCATTTGGCTCAACCGACGCCAGCCGAGATCAAACTAAGAGGTGTCACAGTGCTGATTGTCAGTCAAAGAGCACGTTGTTTTAGCTCATTTGAAAGGTGATAAAAGCAGCAGGATAATCGGTCGCAAACATTATTAATGAAGCACACCATGCTAGTGTAAAGATGTCTATACCTCTGGTGGAGAGCTTCAGCTTGAGTCTTTTAGGTTAATCTATTGCACTTTAAATGCTCCTATTCCAAAATTAAGCAACATAAAAGTGCCTAAAGCAACTAAATAGGTGTTGGGATAATTTTCTAAGACACCCAGGTAATGTCAAAAGTTTTGTAATTAAAATAAAAAGTAGCATTGAGCACTGAGGGCTGGTACATTTCCAGGGTATACCCCGTATCCCCGGAGGAAACAGCAAATAAATATTTTAAAATATGAACAACAAGCTTAAGTTGGATCTGCGTCATGTTCTGTAGCTGCAAGATGACGCAGCACCACCATGACAACGAAAATCCTGAGTCCAACCAGATGCTAGATCGCTTAGATACTAATCCTCCCTCGCAGTAAAGCACCCAGATCTGACTAAGGGAAAAGTAAGAACAACTGGACCGGAAAATGACTGCACATCCTATGAGGGAAGGTTTATTTATTTATTTTTAACGCAACTAGTGTAGTTAAAGGGTAAAAAAAGATGATATCATCAGAAATTAGTGGGAAAATATTAAACAAGAAGTTCCAAAAATGGTGCCTTTGTGTTTGAATCAGTGGCGTTTCTTGAAAAGTGAGCTCACCGATGATTCCACTGTCCCTGCTCTCCAGCGTCGAGGTGGGACTGGTGACCGACCCGTAGGCGCAGTCCCTGTTGCCGGCCTGGCCGGGCATGGCGGTGGGGAGGGTGGAGCAGGGGCTGCCCGCAGGTGGGGAGGCAGTGCTGCTGGTCAGGGTGGAGCAGGGGCTGATCCTCTGGTTCTGGCCCTGGGAGAAAACCACAGACACGTTACGGCTCGGTTCGGCTCCAACAGATGCATTACTGCAAGTGGGGAGAGAGGGAAAACTTTTAAAATGTGAGTGACACAGACGAAAATATCATTTCAGCATTGCAGCTTTTAAAAGCTCCGCAGCCCGCAGCTCGAATCATTCCTGGGATTGCCTCTCCCACACATGTCACTATTCCAAATAAGTAGTGCCATTTTTCTGAAATACAAACTGGAAATTTGTCCTAATTTATGTAAACATCTTTATAAGGATAAAATGTGAATGTGCAAATTCTTTGTGAGAATGCAAATAAAAATGTTACAATAAATTTGAATATATTCCTTCCTCTAAAAATGTAGTCGCTAAGGGATACAGCAAAAAAGACACAAATTGCGACTGCGTTCATATGATGTGGCATTACCAAAGATGATGTGCAAATATTTAGCACAGCTATGGTTTTCAAATCATTTTTGCATGTCTCAATGTTTATTTGCCGAGTTTAATAGAAAACCTGTTCAGATGACTCAGTCTCAAACATGCCATTACCAGCAGCATGCCATTTCTCCAATAAATACAACACTTAAGGAAAATTTGCACCATTTTTTTTCAAATGCAGGACCATTTCAGGATAAAGATTCAATTAAAAATATCAAATGGTTTCCATGGAAACATCACCAAAAGAAATCAAAGCTGTAGGACGACGTTTCCAAAGTCTCAGATCTTAATAAGCATGTTTGTGTTATGGCTTGTTAGCAATAATCAGAAAAAGGCAAACCATGGTAAATGTCAAAGCCTTATGAATATTCAGACATTAGCACTGAAAAAATGTTTAAAAAATGATGCAGAGAAAGAGGGAGACATTTCCAAGGAGACGTCGAACAGCATTATTTAAAAATTAGAACTGAATCTCATCTTTCATTTGGCTTCGCAGACTAATGCAAAACATGGAGGCAAAAATCTTTTACATACTTTTATGATTTATGATCATAAAAACGAACGGCGTTTTGTTTTTCTGCGTTTCTTTTGGCCCCCTGCAGGGACTCCATTCTATGTCAGCTCCGGTTAGGACACAAACAGCCACGGGGCAACGAAATAAAAAACCTTTTACATCCAATCTGTTGTTGAAAATAAAAACACACAGATCCACTCTCACGTGAAACGCTCTTCCGTTTATACCTCAATATACGGAAACGCTGCAGCACATATATGTGAGGACACTGTTTGCATTAGGGGATGACAAACACTCCTTAAAGAACAGGTGAAGTCAGTTGGTGCTTAAGGCTACATTTAGTCCAGTGCACAGCCTTTTCTATTGTCTTATTGTATTGGAAGAGAGCCACTCAGGAGCAGCGCTGGACTAATTATTATTGAGACATTCATATCGATCCATCTGTCAATTATGTGTTGACGGCCTCCTGAGGTTGCCGCTCTGGAGATTGGGCAGGTTGTCAATTAATCTTCCGCTTGGTGGTTTGCTGCTTGGATACATTTGTCTACATGTCAATGTGTCCTTGGAAAATAAACTGATCTCACTTGCTGCAAATTGCATTTCACTCCCGACTGTGTGTCTGAGTGGGAAAATGGAAAACACTTACTAATGCAAATACCAAATATTGAATTCTGGCATGGCAATACAGATGTAACATTGTTTTCATGGCCTGTTCAGCAAAGGAGTTGATATTTCAAGTTATTTCTCACATATCAAAACTCCATTCATATTTTGTTTAGAACCTAAGGTAGGTATAATTAATAGAGGAAAACCAGTGGGTCCTAAATCTTATAACTGCTTGTCTAAAACATCAGAAACAGCAGAAAACAAACAAGGTAATTACAATTTCAATTTGGACAAATTGGGACATTCTAATTTCAATTTCTAACATAAAATCAATTAAAACAATGGAAACCACATACACTTCATATCTGAGAGACTAGGGCCAACAAATTTGGCAATTTGTTTTAAAAAGAACAAATTAATGTCACAATTCCTAATAAAGTCACTGACGGACTGTTTGGAATCCAAACTTTTGAAAAAAGAAACAAAGCGACTTCTAATGAAACACTATAGGTACTTTTGTGTGTGACTGGTCAAGTGAAAGAAGGATTGGTCAGAGACCACTTCAGCCACGGCCGCCCTCTGCTGTCCTCGCAGATGGGGGAACTCATGCGTGGCCCTAACAAAAAGCAACCCCGCTCACACGTGAACAGATGGATCTTAAGACGTGGAGCGATACCGCGGCTTTATCTGCCGGGCTAATGAACCTCGCCTTGCGAGGGGTCTGACCTTAAACGTCACACGAGGATTGGACTGAACTCGCGACTGCATCTATTTAGGGAGCCGGAGCGGGAGACTATGAAAGGCAATTAACTGCTCTCTCTACAAGTTAAGGTCACCTTCTTCTGCCAGCTGGTGAGGTCACTCTGGGAATTTAACGCCGTCGATTGGAGAACAGTATAGTGTATGTTTCATGCGTATAGAAAAAGAATTACAACTTAGACCTCTGACTCTTGATCACCGACTACCTTTTAGTTGGATTGATACATTTCTTTAACTGCATTGCATAAAAAGGCTAGTGGATATTTTAAAGCTACATCTTACAATGCTAGCAAGGATGATGGAGGAGAGCTTATGTGTCTGTTCATGGAGGAAATGTCCATTGTGATGCTGCACCAGCCTGTTAGAGGCTTTATATTTATTCGATTTAGCTCTCCTGGGTTTATTTTTTTTACCATTGCATCGCTTTAAAGAACTGAGTGCAACCTCACAGCGACACAATTCAATGTCCTCAAGTCTGGAATTGTCAAAGACCAACACTCATTACTATGGAAATAAACCGTTTTTTCCTCTTTAGGTGTGCTCAAATGCAATAAACAAGGTTCCAGGCGGTTTCATCCGCAGTGAAAATGACTGTGGCTCGAACATTTTTTTTTTTCTTCTTTCCCCACTCTGTGCTGCAGTTTGCATTTGAAGGGCGTTTTTGCACCGCATGATATTTCATTTGCTGCCCTGAATCTGCTAACCGGTCTCACTGCAGTGACAGAATGTCTGTGAAGTACGCGGTTCTTCTGTAAAAGACATCAGTCACCCGGCTGCACTGTTGTAGTTTCTGCACTCCTCTGTTTTAAGGTGCAAAAAGTCACTTTATTCTCATAAAAGAAACACTGACAACCACACCCCCCAAAAAACAACAAATCTCTCCCTCAATCTTCATTAAGTTTAAGGACCACAATCAGAAAAAAACTAAACAAATGTATGCCACGAAATGAAAAATGAACAAAAACCTAAACAATGCTATATAACCTATGAACTTAACACACAACACTACACAACTGGAAACTGTAGATGTATTGAATACTGCATACTATCATTCTACTAATTGAATTTAAACAAAAGCCCACTCTCTATTGCAAAGCTGGTCCTGGGGGGAGGCTATCTTGTACATTTCTCCCTACATCAGCACACCTGATTCCCTCTGATGCACCATTAGCAGGCCTGTGCAGAACTTCACAATGTTTTCAATGGATCCATTTATGTTGTTAGATTGTTAGAATGTTAGAATGTTAGAATCTGTGTAGGTTCTGGTGCTTTCTGCATGGGGCACAGTTGCAATGCAGACGGCGGTATTTGGGGCAGATATGTAAAATAATAAGTTTGTGCTGCGGGCATGATGCAGAGCGGTGCAAGCGTGAGTCACGTCTCTAAAAAGGAGCCACTTGAATAAACCTCTCAATTTCTACACCCCCGCTGCTCCAGCAGTGCCGACATCAAGAGCAGGCAGTCCATCAGTCTAATCACTTATCCACGCTGCTTTAACGCAGACCCATCCCTTCTGCCCCGCGACTAGCGCTACGGCAACAGGTCGGCCCCCCCCCCCCCCCCCCCCCCCCCCCCCCCCCCCCCCCCGTCTCTGCTTTTCGGTCTCTCTCAGCTGTTGCTGTTTTTCCTCCCACGGTCTGAAAAATTCATTCCTGTCAAATCAGGTTTAGGTGGAGAAACCAGGGCATCTGCGGGAGGCCTGCTGTGCCAGGGGCTGTTTGTTGCACAACTGTCAGATGCATAAATAGAAAAGGTTACGCTGCAAAAGAGGAACCTAGAGTGGTCTAACATGCTGCGTGTCAACCCAAGTCACATAATTCCATCCAACGAGGAGAAGAAAAAAAAACACACAACAAAACATTGCATGGTTTTGTTATATAAAGAAATCTAATCGTGTGTAGATTTCTCCTATTTTATGCTTGAAAACAGTTACATTCTTCATTTTGGAGGGCAATTTCTCACAATAGGAACATGTTAGAAGGAGGTAACTGAAATAGGAATAGAAGGTTCAAAGTCTGTGGTGCAGGGTCTTTACAGGAGAAGCAACACCTGTTAGTGAAGTTTACTTTTAGCCTGGGAGAATTAATCAAGAACATTTCCATCTGCCTCCAGGACAGTTTTCACTAAACCTAAAGTTGGTCCAAAGTTTTTTAATATGCAACTTGATATAAAGACATCCAATTTGTCAATGAGAAAAGACGTAAAAACAAAGATGTTGTTGTCGCAGTGCCTCAAAAGCTGCTCGTTGTAAAATGCTAGCGGGATTTAAAAGATGTCAGAAGTCCGGTATGCTGTGCAGGTTGTAGTGACTACAAACCAGAACCAACAGAAAACCCCCGAAAGATGCCTGAGCAGAAAGACGCGAGTGCAAAAGGTCATTGTTCAGTTTGTTTCTACTGCTCTATCGTGTCAATGCACAACGGCAGACGGGGGGAGAAGCATCTGAAGAAAAAAAAAAAAGTCTTATTTCTGTATTAATGTAAAACCAGAGAGTCAACCGAGAAGACAACACTAAATGTCAAACGAAGAGGAAAATCTGTGGCGAGTCGGGTACAGATCTGAGTTAAAGGAAAAGTGAGTAATAGGGCTTTACCCTGGAAAAAAAAGAAAAAAAGAAGAATCTGAAGTGGTAACTTTGGGAGATGGTTACCTGTCTCGCCTCGGGTTCCTCCATGCTGTACTGGGTACCGGCTGGCCCCTCACTCACTTTGTCTCCCAGAAGGAAACCCAGCCGCGTCATCAATGTGTTGGCCGCCTCATCCACCGACGGAGGGGGGCCCAGCTCCTGGCTTGACTCCCCTGCAGAGGCAGATAGGTGGGAAGAAGAGGAGGAGGAGGAGGAGGAGGAGGAGGAGGAGGAAGAAGAGGCAGAATGTGCATCAGAGGTGGGCAGACACGGAACAGCAGCTTACTTAGCCACAAAAAGAAACTATGAGTGTCATGTGTGCATATCCGGTGGTTAGGGGGGAGTATCGGGTACGCTTCCTTTGTGTAAAAACACAGCAGAGACCACCAACCTGGACCAGGGACACACACCCCCGAGGCTCAGGAAAAAACAAATGAAACAGCCTTCCGTACCTGAGCGCTCCCTTAGCTTAGAGCTTTGCATTACCGACGCATTCCTAAACAGCTGGACGTCTCCTACCAGGTGTCTCACATAAACTCCCAAATCCCTTCGGCCTCTTGAAGAATTGTTTCCAGTTGTTGACTTAAAAACTCTTTCACGTCTTTCACGTGAAAAGCAAAAAAAAAGCTATCCAAACTGGCGGCGGCTCCTTCCGCACCACTCATCACCGCTGCAGCCCAGGTGACGTAATGTGAAACGCCTTTCACCTGTGTGTGTCTGTGTGTGTATGTGTGTGTGAAAGAGAGAGAGAGAGTGTGTGGCTTCTAGAGACAAAGCGGGTGTGTTCCCACATCTCTTCTATTTACAGAGACTGCCAGCCCCGAAGAGAGCAAAGGAAAACACCAGGGTGAGCCAGCGTGTGGATCAAAACCACACACACACACACACACACAGACACTCACGCACACACACATACACACATATCAAGATGGAGGATTCGAGGTGCCAACTTTGAAACAAGATCCAAAGCAAAAAACTGAAAAACAAACAAAACCAAACAAAAAAATAAGAGAAAAGATCCTGATGACCTCATCTTGTCACCTGGTTGCCTGGTTACTCTCCACCCATGACAAACTCTCACTGGTGGTATCATGTTTTCAATAACACCTGGCTATCAAGCCCTGGAGGCGTCCGCTCCATCAACTTCGATTCAATTTGACATTATCCACCAGAGTGCCACTCTCGGGGCAGAATGTTTTGTTAATTACTCACCCCGATCTTTGTCAAAAAAAACAAAAAAAAAACAGGAACTTGTGGCCAGCTGTAATTGGAAGTGTAAACCCTTCGAATTGGCTCAGACACTAATGACACGGGGGCCAAGAGTGTGAGATAGCTGGTGTTTGAATAAAAAAAAGCCGTTAAACAGAGACAGCTAGTGGCCGGACCAGTTTTTCTCACACTCCCCCCCTCCACACCACCCCACCCCCACGAGGCAGGTCAAACCAGACAGGCAGGTAGCCGCTCTCAGCCCCAACTGACAACCATTAGGCAGCTCCAGCCGCCACACGGCCCCCCCGAGGGACGGGCGGCTCGTCTGAAGTCTGCGCTCTCTCACTCGTCAGATAAAAAAGACGTAGAGACAAGCTTAAGACCGGGCTCCCTCTCCCCTTCACTCACGGGCCGAGCAGGATTCCAAATAGATTGAATCCGAGTCCTTCCGCGTGAGTAAGTGAGACGGGCACTTTGGGAAGATGGGAGTGACGAACTGTTTTTCAATGGAAAAACACACAGAGCTGCAAACAATAAGGAGGTAATCACAGCACACATTAGGTCCCAAACAAGCCAGTGAGCCCTGATGAAATAGCTGGGGAGGTGACTCTTAGCAGAATACGTTCATGTGGGCACTCGTTTTTCTTTGAGGTTTCCCTTTGAGGAAGAGTTCATCCTCTCTAACATTAGCAGAGACAGCTATGAGCTGAAAGTTTAAAAAATCCAGTTCAGTTTCAGGGGTTATTCTTATTCAAATGCTAGCTTTGGTGGCAGTACGTCTGTGCATCTGGACCTGGAGGCTGGGACGGCCTTCTGGTTGACAGGCTGCTTGTAGTGAACAGTGAATACATTATCAGTAATTAGTCAACTGATCCTGGGAGGCTTCTGGCCCCAAATGTGATCAAACGGGGACCTCGGTTTGTCTTTTTCCGCCCGTATAAGTTTATCTCTTTCCATTGGTGGCTGACTTTTTACCTGATATTTCAACCCCTGTTTCTCAGCATTCCTCCCTTAAACTGGACCAGCGTTGCAGGTTTTTTTTTTTTGTCTTGTGCGAGCAAAGTCTCTAATCTGCGTGCAAGAATCACAGCGACTCCCCCCGAGCTAAATGCAGGCAATCCCTTTGTACATCCGTTATCACTCACGCTCCAAAAATACCAGCTAGAAACATATGTCAAGGCACAGCTTTTTTGGGGGCAGCCACAGTGAGCGAGCTGTCATTTAAAATCAAAATCCACATGCTGTTTTGTTCCAATAAAAAAAACTAAATCCCAGCAGTCACTGACATAGTCTTGCTTTTTTACAACTAACACACATGAGCTCTTTTTTCAAAAGGGATTCATTACCATAAAGCAGGGTTTTATGTTGATTTCTTTTCATTTTCAACACTACGTTTTTGTTCCTTAAATACAGATTGTGACAATCACAGAGTACTGCCTCTCACCGAAGCCACTGACAACAAACATCTACATCCCCTTCAACGAGAGTTGACAGCACTTGGAACATAAGAGAAGCCTGGAGGAACTTTTCATCACAGTGACACTCGTGATGAAATACATATACAGCCTCCATGCGTGCACGTATACATATCAAGCAGGGAGAATATTATTTACCTAAATCAGCATATACATACACACACAGAATGAATTCCTGAGCTGCGAAGGAGACAGATGGTTGTCATAGCAACTATCTTTGCACGCAGCTAGGAATGTGTTTCTATGCAAGCGCATCTGTTTCTGCCTGGCTGTCCACAGATCTGCCCTCTCGGGCCAAGAGAAGCCCGGGAGAGAGGCATGTGTGCTGCAAGCAGGGGACTGGACAGGAGATGGTATTAATAGGCCCGGATAGCAGGTGAGACAACGCAAAAGCATTTGGTGGCTTTATCTGAGCACTTCGGCATTCAGTTCAAGCATTTATGCGCATTATTTAGGGAAAAATAACACTACGTGAATACCTTAGAAGTAGATGACACTGGTCTATATCATATACATATTGCTGACATCCAATGTACGCAGATTTATTATTTAAAAAACTAGGGAATGCATGGCCGATCTAGACATCAGATTAGACTATTTTACATTCCGGATGTGCACACTTGGAATCTTATCTGTGCATCAACGCCTGTGTATAAAATCGTGCAAGAACTTGGCACCTCAGGTCTCAAGAGTGGGTGATGTGAAGATGCACAGAACACGTTTAAACGTACTGATTTTGCCTGTACTAAAACTGTCATCGTTGTTATTTCAGTGACTTTTTCACACTGAACTACCGACATGAATATTCATGTCAACAACAGCTACCTGGTCCTGAAATTAATCTGATGAACACACTATCGTGATTATGGTGTTAACATCAGTGCAGGTCACATTAATTCATATTAGCAGATACATTACGCGAAGAATAACATGATTATTAACGTAAACCCAAAGGCATCCTCCAACCAAAGTTAATTTCATCCTAATTGCTATAAAAAAAACAGAGGATTAGCTGACTCAGGGTTGTCCCCTTCAGCCTCAAATTGTATCTTCTAACTCAGCCTTCTGCACCAAACTCCACCGGAGCTATTAATGTCAGATCTTGTGAGAAAAATTACTTTTGGAAAAGAAATAAAAGAAGAACTGACCCAATGTTGCTAAATATAAGCAAACCTGGCAAATGTAGACGCAAAGATAAGCCACACAAATAAGCAGAGTGTGTCTCCCATTTGCAAAAAGTAAAGTAAAGACTAAATCTTCCTTTCAGTTTTGCTTAAAGACTAAATCTTCCTTTCAGTTGTGCTTAAACTCAGCTCAGAGTAACCCGGCTAAAGTGGAATAATACATGATATCAAAAGGCATGCACCCATCGTGGGAGATTATCTAAAGAGTCCACCATCAGTCTCGGGAATTACTGTTTAGAAAGGCGGCGCTCCAACATCATTAGGAATGCTTTCAGTGCCTGATAGTGAGCTTTACTATCTCACAAAAAATATTCACAAACGCTATTTATGAGTCAACAAATTCCTGCGTAGTCCATAAAACCGGGCTGATACCTGCTCTCCTCCTGGCGACAGCCTCCCTCAGCGGCGGCCTGGCATGCGATCAGATGTTTAAGTCATTGCCCTGCCACCGCACATGCCAGGCGGGGCTTGTTAGGAGCTCAAATGTCCATCTGTCCACCTGAGGGGTGAGAGTGCTCACCCCTTGAAAGCCTAACCCGGCCCTCCTGGCACCTCTCCAGCCTAAGATATCGCGGCGCCGACAAAGAACTTCCGCGTGTAATCAACTGTTATCCCGCGTCGATGGCACCGCAGATTAGGGCTTCATCCCCCAAAAAAACGGCAAATCTACAGAAGCTTATAGCGGCTTATAACTGATATACAACAGTCTATTCCACAACGCTGATGCAAAATACGGGCTGGGTTTAACAGAGTCGGTCGCCTGAACTAAAGGGCCCGCAGTACAGAAGTGTGAACTGTTCAGATTTATGCAGCCGCCGGGAACAACACGAAAATATTTTCTGCTATAAGTCACCTACTTAGAATTCCCACGGGGCAGAAATTCGGCAGAAGAGGCTGACAGATGGGGAGAGCCGGTAAGGCTCTTTCAAGCGTTTTCCTAAATTACACAACTTAAGCCTGGAGGCCCCCCCAGTCGCTGCTGCTCTCAAGCCTTCCTCCGGCCCTGAGGTGCGGGAGCATTGTCCCGCTCGGTTGAGAGGTCCACACACCCCACAGGAGCTTGAGCCAACAAGACAAGGCGGTAAGCTAATGCTGGGAGATGAGAAAGCAGATATATCAGAGCCTCCGGTCGGCTGCTTTTGATGTCGTCCCCGAGTGAGGAAGGGGGAAAAAGATAGCAGGGGTTTTGAAAGGGCGAGGGCGGCTGAATCTGGGGCTGTTCGCGGGATTACCGAGGAAAAGCCGGCAGTGCAGTTAACAGAAAAACAGCAGCGGCAACCTAAACAAGCTCCGAGAAAGCAGCAAGGAAGGATTAAAGAGGCGGGGAGGGAGGAGGCAATGATGGTGGACACCGTGGGCACAAGCGGAGCCATTTGATTAATGACCTTAGCAATGTTTT